CTGTGACAATTCCCTGATCCCAGGACTCCTACAGCTATAGAATCTAGCAGAGACTTCTCCAATCTGGGGTGTGGAGAACAGACAGCTCAAACTATAGAGGGAAGAAAAGTCACCAGTTAGTGTTGAGAGTCCATCGTAGAACTTAATTTTAATAGGATAGTTCCCACTTGAAGGCCAATTTTGGCACTATGCTACCCACATCGTCAGGGAGATCTGCATATCTGAATGGCTTCTTTTTTTAGAAAGTGGCATTTGTCTTCTTGCCAATTTTGTAATTGTTCCCAAGACTGCTTGTGACTCCCTTTTTCTTTGCAGGATCCATGCTGGATATTTAAAACCTCTTGATTTCTGTTTGCCCTTTGAGCCCTATGTTTTGGCAGACAGTGGTGAGTCAGTGTTGGGCCTGTCCAGGGAGGCAGTTTCATTTGTAACAGGCACATCTCCAAGCAAAGGCTATTGCTCTGCATTTACCTTGGTTTTTGTGGGGATTTAGGGGGATCCCATAATAATGCCTTTTACATGCTATATTTCAAAGCCACTTAAGAGAGTGAGAAGAAGTCAGATAGTTGGAGATCATGACATCAGTTTTATTATGAATCAAAACTAGATTGGGAGACATGGCTTAGTTATGTCACAGCAATGAGTTTCCTCACAGTGGGCACTGTGATTAGGGACCTCACCACAGCCAGGCAGGGTCTGCTCTCACAATGCCTACACCTGGAGCACTAGCCTTGCGGCCTCCTCTCTGCCCTCAGGCTAGCTCCAGGGAGACAGGCAGGAAGAGATCATAACTTATAGCCTGTGCTTTTTCTCCAGGAATATCTAAGAGCTTATCCCTCATGGGAAGGAGGAGGGTGTAGGGAGGGACCAGGAGTGTCATACCTATTGATGTCCCTCTCTTGGAAGGAGACCTGGGAATTGGCAACGAACATTCCCACCCAAATTTCCCAGGCTCCTTCCTGCTCTTTGCTTCCAATTCTCATCCACAAGAGGAAGCCTGGACTATTCTGCAGCTACAGTAGCCACTGCTCCCGCTGCTGCCCCTACTTTGAATTCCAAGGGCCCAGGGAGCCTCCTGCTCTGGGTAATAAACCTTTGTCTCAGCCCAGACTCATCTTTCAATATGGAAGCCTGAACTAAAGCCGTTGGGGAAGCTGACAAAGATGGTTACCCCATTGGTCCAATAAGGACTAACATATCTACTGAACCCTGCTTTTGCACAAGCCTCCAATCTTCCTCTGCTTCTCAGCATTCCAGGCTTTGAATAATCTGAACTGTCCCTGGGGGAGCAGAATGTCATGTGTCATGAAAAGGCCTCCAGAGTCACACACTTCACGTTCCAGCAGGACCTTTCAAAGTTCAGCCTGCTTCTTAGGTTCTGTCCTTGTCTTCTGCCCATGGATCTGGTGCTGTTATGGAGAGCAGAGCATCATTTACCTTTTCTACCCTTCACATCTCGACTACTAAGCCAATATCTTGTTCTTAAACAGATCTATTTTTATTTCATAAGCCTTTTTTCTTCACATACTAGTTTTTGAGGATTTTAAAAGTTAGGATACTTTCTGTTACAAGTTAACAAATACCTTGACTCAAATTGGCTTAAAAATGAGAATATATTTGTAATGGAAAATCTGGCATTTGGACCAGATTTCAAGGCTGGTTGATTCAGTGGCCCAATGATGCCATCAGTCGTCTGGGTACTTTTTCATCTTTCTGCTCCGATGCCCCAGCACCAGCTCGAACTTACAGTTGTGGGTGCCTGTTATGGTTACTAGCAGCAGCTGGAGGACATCCTGCCTTCTTTAGAGCCACCTGGAGCAAAAGACTGGCTTGTTTAACACAAAAGCAGTAGGCAAACTTCTAGCAACTCATTGATCCACACTGGCTTAGTCCTGACCATCCATGAACCAGTGACTGGAAAGGCGGAGGAATGGATTACCATGACTTGTGTGGATGGGTGGTCTAGGACAGAGGAGCTCTGGGGGACCTGGTCTGAATGTCCTCTTTTTCTAAGCTAAGTACCCCCAACGTAGATCTGTCAATCTCCTTAATATGTAGGTTTTTTTTTTTTTTTATTTACTTATGATAGAGAGAGAGAGAGAGAGAGAGAGAGAGAGAGAGAGGCAGAGACACAGGCAGAGGGAGAAGCAGGCTCCACGCACCGGGAGCCCGATGTGGGATTCGATCCCGGTTCTCCAGGATCGCGCCCTGGGCCAAAGACAGGCGCCAAACCGCTGCGCCACCCAGGGATCCCAATATGTAGGTTTGTGTGAATTGTACTGAGATTTCCTCCACTTCAGCTGAAAATTGGATATTTCTCCTGTAGCTTATGAACCCTCATTCCTTTTTATCTGTCTGCTGATAAATCCACTACATCACCAGAACTGAAACAACAGTCAGTGTTCTGCAGTTCACCACTAAGTCAGCCCTCTTCCCCTGGGAGCACATGGTTCCAACCACGGAGGAGAGAAGATGGGGCTTGAGAAAAGCTTCACCTTCACTCTTTGAACCTCGCTGGAGGCCCAAAGAAGATAAAGGAAAATAGAAGTGGAGATAGTTAATACTGACTGTCTACCTATTCCCGGCTCGAAATAGCCTGAAGACCAAAAAGATGCATGTTTCTCAGTGTGGGGTCTATGGACCACTGGCTCAGAGCCACAGTCCCACCAAATCTCTCAGACCTTGGTTTTACGTCTCACCCCCCCTTTCTTTTTATTTTCACTCCAATTTACACTTAACTTCTATTTACACATTTTAAGTATTTTAAAGACACTTTAAATACTTTGTTGAATGATGGCGGAGGATATATGGGAAAAAATCTTTGTGCCCATACTGCATTGTCTTAATCACTGTAACTCTATAGCAAGTTAAACATTGTTAATTCATTTTCAAGATTGTCTTGGCTAAGCTTGGCTTTTGGCATTTCCACGTATATTTTTAAATCAGTTTGTCAATTTCCACAAAAATCTTATTTGAAACCAATGTTTTGCTGAGCTCTCTCTAGTCCTCAGGAATCTATTCCAGCAGATTTTCTCTTTGATGTGAACATCACAGACAGGGAGGTTATGGCCAGCCTTCCACCTGATGCCCTCCATATAACCAGTGCATGAGAGAAAGGCTCCTTCTCTGAACAGGCCACCACAGAGTGGGCTGGGGTCAGGAGCAGAGCAGGCCCAGCCAGGCTTTGTTGGGATAGCTAACCCATAACAACCCCAGAGGTATAATGAATTCATTCCCTTACCAAAAAGCAAGAAAAAACTAGTATGACACCTTAGTACTGTCACTCAGAGTTCAAATATGAGAAGGGGATCAGAAAATAGTTAAAAAGGCAACAAAACCAACTGGCCACCTCCAGGGTGGTGGTAGGGGGAGGAGTTAGCTCTGTGTGTCCCCCAACCCCTTCACATGCTGACTTTCTGCATAGTTACTGCAGGAGGTGGAGGCCCCAGCCAAGCACCAACACTAGCCCTTGCTCCGTGGGTTTCACCAACTCCCACCATGGTTGGGGACATCCTGTCCCTGAGGGTCAGGAAGCTCCAGAACCTTATGTTTTCCCTGGGATTGGAGATCATCCATAAAACTTCTAAAGACATCCCCAGTCCTGTCTGGTTGTAGATCAAGGACAAGCCTTGTATGGCCATCATGGGGAGCTCAGTATTGGGGGATGGCACCAATCTCAATTCCATCTCATCCCTTTGAAGGCCAGCCACAGGGCCATTTTGCTGGGTTGTCACCATGAGAGGAGGGCTTTCAATGATGTAATCCTTGAGATCGATCGTTCTGAGACCACCCCAGGTTCTAGGACATGTTCATACAGAGAAGCATCCTAAAGGAGGCCCCCAGAGAGGAGTTCTGCTTGAGACATTTCTTCTCTTGCATTGATGGTGGCAGTGCTCCAGAGCACTGGACCCAGGGACCTATTGTCTACCTCTACTTGCAATTTATTGAAATTATATTGGATCTGTAGGTTAATTGGGAAGAATTTACAGTTTAACACTATTTAGTCTTCAAATCCATAAACATGGTATATCTCTGCATTTATTTTGGCTTTCTTTAAATTCTCTTAGCAAATGTTCTATGATTTTTCAGTGTAGTGTTCTTGCACTTCTTTTATTGGCTTTGTCTTTATTATTGATGCTTTTTGATGCTTTTGGTAATGATACTATTTTCTATTTGTGTTTCAATTTGTTTACTGCAAGTATATAGAAATATACATTCATCTATTTGAGTCTAATTACCTTGTTCAATTACTAGTTAATTCTAAAATTTGTCTATAAATTCTTTTAGGTTTTCTAAGTATATAATCTCATCAGCTGCAAATAATAGTGGTTACAGTTCTTCCCTATCAGGTATATTTTAAAAATTTATTTTCTCACCTTATTGCATTGGCTAAAATTTCTAGTAATTGTTTAATAGAAATGGTGACAGTACACATTTTATCTTATTCTCAAATTGAGTGGGAAAATACTTAATATTTCACCTTGAAGTATGATGTTAGGCATAGTTATTGGTTTTTAGCTTTTTTGTTTTTGTTTTGTTTTGTTTTGTTTCTTGTTTTTTGTTTTTTGGTGTATACCCTTTACTAGATTAAGAAAGTTACTTTCTTAGTTATGATGTATTTATCCTTTTTATTTATTGCTGGATTTGATTTGCTAACATTCTGTAGGAACATGTTTTTCCATCTGTGTCCAGGAGAGATAGCAACCTGTGCTTTTCATTTTTGTAGTGTCTCTGTCAGGTTTTCTGTATCAAGATGATGCTGTCAAACTCTAGAAGTTGGGCTGTTTTCCTTTTTTTTCTTTATTCACTGGCAGAATCAGTGTAAGATCAGTAATAGCCTTTCTTAAATGTGTATTTTAGAGAATTTACAAGGGAAACATCTGGGCCTACCTAGACTTTTCTGTTTGCTTGTTTTTTGTTTTTGTTTGTTTGTTTTTTTGGGGGATGGGGGTGGGAAGGGCAACTTGATGATCATTCTCTCATTGTATTTTTTTCCTTAGGATGTTTTCAATAGGCCAGAACGAGAAGATTTCCCATGAGGCTCTTTTGAATCACTTCAAGGAAAATAAGGTGGAGATAGCAAATGCAATAACAAAGCCATTTCCTTTCCTTGAAAGCCTCAGAGACCGCTCCTTTATCACGGAAGACCTCTATAATGTACGTGAAGTTTATTATATCTCCCCATAATAACCCAGCCCCACACTAATTTATGTGTGGAATCCTGGATTTAGAATTTAGAGTATCTCTAACTAACTGATGGTCCTTCCATACTCTTCATGGAAAGACTCTTTTAAGTGAGTTAATCCTCTTATAAGGTGGAGGGTAACAGGGCAAGCAGACCTCGATAACCATGCTTCTGCTCTAATTAAAGCCCTTGTCTTCTGTGGGACATGTTGCCGTGAGATGGATGGGAATAGTCCTATGGCAGAATTGAAACTGATAGCTTTGCAAATGTCTAGCGATTTATATAGTATAACAAAATTAAACAAACTTAAAATAATTAAGAGCACTGGGGCAGTATTCCATTATAAAATCCACTATGTCAAATGAAATCTCCAGGGATTTTGTGCTATTATAAGTCATTTTTTTCTGCCTTGCTATTGTGTCCTTTAAAGGTTTATGTTTTGTAAGGTGGTTCTAGAGTCTTAGCATTCAAGTAAATTTGGATCAGTGAGCTCTCCCAGGGAAATAGAGGAGCTACCTCTGTACCATATGATTGTGCAGTCCCCTATGTGCTCCTTACAGCAATGGCAGGACCATCTGCCTACATCCTGAAGCCCTCTCAGGACTCCTCATACCTGGAGGGCAGGCAGTGGTTGCTGTGAGGGCCAACTATAAGGTCCACTCTTGAAACAGCCTATGCAGGATGAAAGTTCAAAAGTCAATAAGAAGAGTTCATTTGTTATTTTAAGCAGTTGATCAAATATTTAAGAAGTTCTAAAATATTACATGAAAAATAATAGTCTATCTACCTGGGAAAGTGGAATGAATGTTCTATGCAATCACTTCCTAGTGATTAACTTTGAAACTATTTTAATTTTGAAATTATTTATATTCTTTTCTCATTGCACTTTTTTTAAAGAAATCTCAGGAAGCCCACAGAAACTTAATTCCTGTAGAGAAAGTGGCATATGATGTCCTCTGCTGCCTTGAGAAGACCTTTGATAGGTCACTTCTACAAGTCCTGTTCAGCAGGGTTCATCTGAAGGAGTATCCTGCCTTAATTCATGTTCTTAGAATCTTCAAAAATGGTAATCAATACTCTCCTCTCCCTTTTAGGGTCCAGGTCTACTCCTCATTTATTCATTCACTCATTTGTTGGTTTAACAGGTATTTTTTGCAATCAAATGGATTTTTTTAAATTTATTTTTTTATTGGAGTTCAATTTGCCAACATATAGCATACTACCCAGTGCTCATCCCGTCAAGTGCTCCCCTCCGTGCCTGTCACCCAGTCACCCCAACCCCCCGCCCACCTCCCTTTCCACTACCCCTTTTTCATGGTTTAACAAGTATTCACAAAATGTGTACCCTGTCCCAGGATCTGTGATTGTCATTGTGAATGAGTCACCACTAATAGAAACTGATGTGTTCTCTGGTCTTAACATTAAAATTATCCATCAGATGATTACTCTGCTAGGACCTCATGTAGGTTTAATTACAGCCCTTTTTCTTCTTCCAGGAATGTGTATTTATTTTGTGTCATGGGTGCCTGATAAAGAGGAAGTGTTCCTGGGCACGATGTGACATTTTTCTAAGATGACCAGATTGTCACCAATTCCCACAGAAAACCTTATCTGAGATAGTCTGATAAAAAGTTAGCTCCACATAAAGAATCAAGAAGTCACAAGAACCCCCCCCCAGCACAGAAGCAAGGCCTGCGTGTGGAAGGGCAGGGCAGTAAGGAGGGCTGATTATGACATGATGGTCATAGGCAGATTGTGTGGTTTCTGAAGAATTGGAGTTTTATTTTCATAAAAACAAAGAAGTAACATCAATTCTTAAGCAAGGGGAAAAATCAAAAGAAGCTGAAAAATAGTAGGAAATGTGTTAATTTGTGAAAATAGTACATTGATTAAAATAAGAACAATGTAATTTCTTTTCTTTTTAAAGATTTATTTATTTATTTATTTGAGAGAGAAAGAGAGAGTGCTGGGGGAAGGAGCAGAGGGAGAGGGAGAGAATCTCAAGTAGATGGCGCTGAGCAAGGAGCTTGCTGCCAGGCTCGATCCCAGGACCCTGAGATCACAATATGAGCAGAAACTCAGAGTGGGATACTCAACCCATTGCACCACCCAGGCATCCAGAACAATAATTTCTTTTCTTTTTAAGTGTTAAAGCAGAAATTTATTAAAATCCATTTTATATAGTGTTTTAGGAACAAAAAAAATGTAGTCCTCAACATTCAGGTAATCAATTCTATCCTCAGAAGTGCCTTGGGAGAAAACAGATTCCTGTGCCCTTTCCTCCAAAAGATACTTCTGTTTATATTCCTGAAAATGATGCACTGCGAGAAGACAGATTCTTTTGCCCTCCCCCCAGAACAATAATTTCTATATTAATACTTGAGTTAGAGAAAGGAATAGAAACAATCAAATATCTAGGAACAAATTTCAAGTCAATAATTGTTGAAAGCTTCATTGAGACAAATTTACATGTCTTAGGTCAATATTATATATGTGACCAGGATGTCCCAGGCCATGGGAACAAAGGGAATGATGATTACCTGTACTGCCCACATCTCAGGGGCTCTGATTCTCTCCAGGTTAAGTGTCCACATCACCTGTGTTAGGTTCCAGGTTCTCCCAGCTTGGGGGGGGGGGACCTGCACCTACATTTGCTGCCGCCCACCTGCCCCTGGGGAGGTAGCAGCTATTGCCTCTCAGACTCTGTTGTCCACAGGAGCTATGGGTCAGTGACCCAAAGTCAAGAATCTGGGGGCTGTGGAGTGGGGTGTAGCACTCTCTCCTGCTGCTTGATGCCAACCTTCATCCCACACTCAGGGCCCCCTTAGCCCCCGTGGGACTGCCCACTTGCACTGGCCCTCTTCACCCTTCCCTTTGTTCTCTTCCTTTCTTCCACCTGGTTTTGCCAGGATCTGAGTCCAGGTCGTGGGATGACAAAGCACCCATGGTTCCCACTGTCCTGTGGAACTCACCCTAGCAGGCCCTACCCCAGGAGGAGCTCCCGCCATGGGCCCTGGGGCAGCAGGTTCTCTTCCTCCCTGGTGTCCCCTCCTCCCTGGACTCCCTGTAGACATGGCCCCATCTCCCTCTCCTGCCTCTCTTCCCCATTCAGGCTTCCTGGCTTATTTCTTTCCTCCTATGTGTGCTGGGTCACCTACAGGCAGGGGCGCTGGGCTGGTGTCCCTGCCTCCCCTGGTTGGTGGCCTCCCCAGCCGCTGGGGCAGGCCTGTGGGCCATCCTCCAGCATTGCAATCTGTGCTCCCTGCTCAGAGCTCAAGAGTGTCCTTCTTTTGTTCCTGGGATCTGGGCCCCTGGGAGGTCTGTCCTGTTCCTCCAGGTGTCCTCTGCTTTGTCTCTTTGGGAAGCACTCACCTTCCCTGCCCCAACCCTCCTCTCCTCTAGCAGCATCCTTAGAGCAGCTGGGCTTTCTCTTTCATACCCATGGATCTCTCTGTGAGCCTTGCTCTTCTCCAGAAGAATTCTCTCTCTTCCTTTCTACAGTTCACAGACACATTCCACTTACAGAATTTATATTGAGATTAGCTTTCACTCTTCTCTGGTCATCTTGTTGAGTGATTAATTACTGTTTATAACTTTCCCACTGCTCCATAATCCTTAAACCCGACAGGCTCATCACCTATAGGATTTGCATGTGTGTATTTTTCTCTTCTATGTCCCAGGGAAAGGAATAAACACCATCAAGTTAGGAGCCACTGAGATTAACTGACCCAGGGTCCAGAAGTCCCCGCTCAGTTCCTGGATTCTTGGGGGGGTCCAGATGCTTAATTATGAGGGGGTGATGACTTGCCTGAAACCACTAATTAATTTTTTTCTCTGTTTAGTAATTGAAGACAAATATTTTCCCCAGGAAGATGATAGTGAGGAGACACAAAAACTGCCCAGCACTGAGCCAAGCTGTGAACAAGGTAACTATGAATGAATACAAACTTTGTTTCCTGGTTACAAAGAGGATAGAACTCAGGAAGGGCAACTGTGATGCTTGAGGAATCCAGAGGGACATGGGGCAGGCAGATGAGTGTGGCTTTGTATTGATTCCAAAATGACATGACTCCGGAATCCAAGACAAAAGGTGGCAAAGAGAGACTTTCTGCCCCATAATTTGGAGAGTGAAGCAAGAACCTAAGTGCGAATTAGGAGTTTCCAGAGATGACCGTCAGTGTGAAGCTGTGAAAGGCTAAGAACTCTGGCCCATGGTCAAAGTCAAAGAGGAGACCCTTGACGATGGCAGAAGGGACCCATCTCAGTGTGGGGGATGTTGTTCAGAAGCCCAGATATTCAAGAAGAAAGCCAGTTAGTTGTTCACAGAGAAAAAAGAGGAAGTGATAGAAAGGTGGAGGGGAGGATGTGGGTACTTTGAGAGAGAGGAGGGAAAGAAAGACATAGAAGAAAAGGTTAAGACACAATAAAAGTAACCATGTTATTTACACCTCACGGCGGAACATTTGCTCTGGCAGCGGTGGGGTGAGCACTCAGGCAGCCATTGGAGTTAGCATTGCTTATGTGCCCATTTTGCAGATAAGGGAACCAAAATCTAGAGACTGTGTGTGTAGTTGTACTGGGGTCCAATGAGCAAGGGCGAACCCAGGCATTCTGAACCCAGAGCCTGTGTGTGTGTGTCTTCATGGAGGTAAAAATCACATAGCATAAAATTAATCACTTTAAATTGTACAGTTTAGTGATATTTGGTACATTCACAAAGTTGTGTCATTGTCACCTCTATCTACTTTCTTTTTTTTTTTTTGTTTAAGATCCCACTTATTTATTCATGAGAGACAGAGAGAGAGAGAGAGAGAGAGAGAGAGAGAGAGAGAGAGAGGCAGAGACACAGGCAGAGGGAGAAGCAGACTCCATGCAGGAAGCCCGACATGGGACTTGATCCTGGGACTCCAGGATCACACCCTGGGCCAAAGGCAGGTGCCAAACCACTGAGCCACCCAGGGATCCCCCTCTATCTACTTTCAAAACATACCACTTGCCTCAATGGCCAACCCCACTTCACTCCCCATTTCCCTCTTCCTACTGCCAAGAGCCACTGCTATCAGGTATATCTTTTCATTTCTGTGCATTGAGTGGAGGCAATCAGCAAGTCGGAGAGAACAGAAAGGAGATACCAGTTTAGCCTGACATGGAAGGTGGGAAATTGTGGTGGAAGAGAGCTTGTCAGGAAGGCGGAGGCAGGAGGGACTGAGCAGAGAGTGTGACTGCGGGAAAGAGAGACAGGAACAGGAGGAAACAGAAGACGGTGGAGTCCAGGATGCAGACATATCTTCCTAGGATGGGAGCAGCAATGCCTGCAGGTTGGATCCTGGTAGGACATGGAGGGAGAAAGAGACTGAGGTCTAATGGGATGGAGAGAGGCAGAGCTGGATTTGGTTGGGTTTTGGGGTGAGTCTTGGAGCAGAAAGTCTTTCTGCACAAGGAGCAGCTCACTTTTGTCTCCAACCTCAGAGCTCAGTGTGGCCACTCCTTAGCTTGTTTTCTGGTCACTGGCTCTGGTCTCTCCTTTTCTCACTCATCAGCACCTGATGAAGCCAAAGTTTTAAGAACAAAGGAAGAGGAAGTCAGAGAAGGTGTGCAGCCTTCTTGGGTGATAGGCAAGGTAACTGACTGAATCCTGTGTCATAGATGACCCATTACCTGGATAGCTCATTATGTGGAGGGGTCAGAGGCCAGGCACCTGAGCCCAGCCTCTGACTACTTTCTAAGATGTGAGGGAGGCACATTTTCTAAGATGTGAGGTGAGATCTGTAGGGTCTAGGGGGCGAAATTTAAAGAGAACCCAAGAGTAGGTGCCTCCTTAAATTAGGGGCCTTGGGCCTCTTGCTTGCCTCACCCTGCCCCTGGCCTGGAAGCAAGACAGAAAGGGGAACTGGCATCCTCAGTGGAGGAGGGTGCCCTGTGTGGAGGACGAGTGCAGACAGGTAGGTGGATTGGTCCATCCAATATGAGTTTTAGGAGCAAGCATGGTTTTACCTAAATGGACATGAGATCCAAACTTCTCCCATTGGGTGGAGGTTTGGCAGGGAGGCAGCTTTATCCGCCTTGCCAGAAGTTGTCACAGGAGCATGGAAATAATGTGTATGATGGTCAGACTGGCCAGTAAGCGGGATCACTGGAGAAGATCCTAGAGGTAGAGGTGGGGAAGGGGCTCTGAGTTGTGGTCAAAGCCTGGTGAGAAATCTGGAGTGATGGAAGGATGCTACCTTTGACATGAGGACAACACACAAGACTAGGGTTGGGGGCCTAGAGGCAGGTAGAGGGTCCAGGTAAGCCTGAGAGAAACAGAGATGGAGAGAGGACATGAGAGCCATGGCTGACAGGAGATAAACCGACAATTTATACAAGGGAGAGTGACAAAGATCATATGGACAAAGCAAATGCCAATAAAAGAGAAGGTAGAGAGAGACACAAAGAAACCCTGAAGACAGAGTGTTCAGTGGGAGTGAATGGAACGTTGCTGGAGGCCAATGAGGCCAAGAGAGAGGAGACGTGGTGGGATATTTAGCATCAGGGAGAGGCCACCTCATAGAAGCTTCTGCTGCAGGCCGTCGTCCCCGGGGACAGTGTTTCCAAAGCCCTGAAGGAGCTGGCAAACATTTTGCCATGTGTTGGCAAACATTACGTTACTGATGTATTTGTATGGAGGATTTTATAAAAACTGTTCTAAGTATATTTATGTAGGCATGTACTAAGCCACCTTTGTGGAAAAGGACATAAGAATAAACACAAAATTCAGCCAAGATAATTTTCAGTGGGTAAATGAGAGTAGTAGGTTAAGAGAAAAGAGGAAAAACAAAAAGGTGGATTTCAGGGTGAAAAGGAAAGCCCCAGAGAGGTGGAGAGAGAAGGACACAGAGGTCCTGACACAGAGCGAGGCAGTAGGCGAGCAGGCAAGGGGTAGTGCTAGGGCGACCCTCCCAGGGGGAGTGGGGAGAGAGGGGAGCAGGGGGTCGGGGAGATAGCTGGGGGTTCTTTCTGGATCATTATGTATGTATTCCAGGGACAGAGCTCTCCAGATCTGAAAACCCAGTACAATCTTGTGTTGTGGATCTGGTGAATATACAGAAGACGATTGCATCTTGTCACCTCAGAACTAACCAAGAAGGCCAGCCAGCAGGGATAGCGTGTGACCAAGCATCAGAAATAATCAGTAAGGCTGGCCGAGGGAGGCGTGCCTGGGTGGCTCAGTTGGTTAAGCATCTGCCTTCAGCTCAGGTGATGATCTTGGGGTCCCAGGATTGAGTCCCTGCTGAGCAGGGAGTCTGCTTCTCCCTCTCCCTCTGCCCCTCCCCTCTTGTGCATGCTCTCTCTCTTTCTCTCTGATAAATAAATAAAATCCTAAAAAAAAAAAAAAAAGAAAGAAAACATTTAAAGGCTGGCCGAGGGAGTCTGATGTGGTGACACTGTGTGTGTCGCAGCGAAGGTGTCAGGAGGCAGCCCAGGGAGGACGGAGTGGATTCAGGAGAGGGAGACCCTGGTGCTCAGGGAAAGAGCTTTTGCCTAACAGAGGAGAACTGGGGGTGAAGTGGAAAGGTACTGAACGGGGGCCACTAAGGAGGTGTGTAGAGCAAGATGGCAAGAGGAGATGAGGGGACAAAAAGACACATCAGGTGGAAACAGAGTGCTGAGGAGAACATGCTGAGCTGAGAGAGGAGGTATGAGCTGTGAGAAAGAGAAGCAGAGGTAGGGAAGTGGGGAGAGACAGCTGCAAGGGGAAGAAGGGAGTGAGTGGTCAGAAGATGGGGAGCAAGATGACTAGAGCTGGCCACTGTGGTCACCTGTCCTTACACAGCGTCCAGGGAGATGGCCTGGAGCCCCGCTGTTAACCTGTAGGCCCAGGATTCCATGAGAAGATGGGCACCATCCCCAGCAGCTGGATCTTTCCTGGCATCCCCCCATTATGGGGTTTCCTGCTGGTTCCTTGGCCCCACGCTGAGATCCCTAAGGGGTTTTGTTTCTTTGTGCAGTGATCAGCAGTGAATCCAGCGAGGAAGAAGAGCCCCCAGAAGCTCTGAGCTCAGCACCAGGACAAGGGCCGGATGAGAAGAGCGAGGGCTGCTAGCTTTGGGCTACAGACCATCAGGCATCTGAATTCAGAGGTCCTGCTTCCTGACGTGTTGTACTAGGAGAGCACTCTACAGCCGATGGCCCAGTCGATGCTGGGAACACATTCTCTGTACTTACCTCGTGTGCCATTTTGAAAAATGTGGCAGACAAGATCCTATCACTGAATATGTATGTTCATATATCAACACTGGAGTAGAAACAAACTAGCATATTTCTATTTGTTGTTTTTCCTTCCACGTGATCTTGGCTCTTGTGGTATGATAAAAAAAAAAAAAAGGCATTTGGTCTTTGTTTCTACTTCCTGGCACCCAGTTTCCCAGACCCTTGAAATTTCCTGAGCAGTGAGAGGGTGTCTATGAGAGTTACAGGGTTAGAACTTTCGGTTTCACCCCTCAACCTCTGGGGAGAAATGAGAGGTGGGAGATTAAGTTCAATTGCCAATGGCCCATGATTTAACCAGTGTACTTACATGATTAAACCTTGGTAGTAAAAAACCCTGAACAATGGGGTTGGGAGCCCCTGACTTTGTAAATACGTTGATGTGCTGGGGGGTTGCATGCTGGAGAGAGCGTGGAAGCCCTGGCATCCACGTACCTTGCCCTATCTATCTCTTCCATTTGGCTGTTCTTGAGTTGCGGTCTTTATAATAAAACTGTAATCATAAGTAGAGCATTTCCCTGTGTTCTGTAAGTCATGCTAGCAAATTTTTGGACCTAAGGGGACATTGGGAGAACTCCCAGATTTATAATTTGTTGGGCAGAAACATGGATAGCTTGGGGACCCCATTTTGTAGCTGGTGTCTGAAGTAGGGGAAGTCATGTAGGACTGGGCCCTTGCCCTGTGTGGTCGGTGCTAACTCTGGGTGGTTAGTGTCAGAACTGAATTGAATTGTTCAACACCCAGTTGGTGTGGAAGAGCTGGAGAATTGACTAGTATTGAAATGACCTATTTATCATTGGAAAAGACACCACACAGTTGGTGTCAGAAAAAAAAATACCCACACCTGTTCATACTGATGTCTCCAATGGAGGTATTGATTTCTGCCTTAACTAACCTCTATCATCTGTAGATCACAAAAAAGGTAAGTGATTTTTGATTGCATTGAAGCCTATATTGTTATTGGAAACTTGGAAAGACCCCCAAAAGCCCAAATAAGTCATTTTGACATGTGTTCTCCGACGTGCCATTAGCTTATATCCAAACTTTTCAAAAAATAATTTAGGAAATATCTCATAATTCTAAAACATTAGTAAGGAGTAGGTGTAATAACTACTTTTTATCCTGGTTTTGTAGGTGAGAAAACTCTGGCACATAAGTGTTTAAGAATCCTTTCCAAAGTCATATGGAGAATTTAAGGCAGCACCAGGATCATTGTTCTGGAGGCTCAGATCTCAATTCAGCAGATGTGTTTTCCTTTAGAAGGGGAGAAAACAACCAGACACATCTGTAAATGTTAGTTTTACAGGATTTATAACTTTTATCAAGCAGTTACTGTTTCTCTTTCATGGATTTTATGAACAAAATTAATTTGGAAATAAACACTAGGTATAATAGCAGAGAAGATAATGTCAAAAGGCACATTTGTCCCCAAAAAGATTCATTTTAATTGCTTGCTATATTTTTCGTAAGTAAAAAAAACCTAAATTTATTTTTTAGGGTGTTCCCACCATCTGTTGTTAACCAATGTTTAATATCTTGAACATTAGAAGTCTACTTATTATTCAGGGAAATGATGTCAACAGGTTCTGGGTTGGTGAGGGAGTTGAGTGGGACTGGGGGGAAGGAGGCAGGAGGGGAAAGGGCTCTGATCCACACACTCATTCCCGGATCCATCCTCCAATGTTGCCCTGGGCAAGCAATAGAGGCGGAGAAAGTGTGTAGGGATCAGGAGGAAGGATTGGAAGTAGAAGGGCGAGGTGTCAGGAATTTAGCAAAATATCACAAAACTGCCCAACTACCCAATTTTCTCAGCTCCTGGTGACGGCAACTAAAACAGTGTTAACCAAGGGGGTGTGTTGAGTTCAAAGAACAGACCGGAATGCCAGGAGTTTCATGATCTTCCCTGGTCTTTCATTGTTTTCTTTTCTTTTCTTTTTTTTTTTTTTAGGGATTTATTTTTATTTTATGTTTTTATTATTATTATTTTTGTATGTATATTTTTTCTTTTCTTTTCTTTTTTTTTTAAAGATTTTATTTATTTATTCACGAGAAAGACAGAGAAAGAGAGAGGCAGAGACGCAGGCAGAGGGAGAAGCAGGCTCCATGCAGGGACTCGGGACTTGATCCTGGCTCTCTAGGATCACGCCCTGGGCTGAAGGCGGCGCTACACCGCTGAGCCACCGGGCTGCCCTGTTTGTTTTTTTTTATTGGAGTTCAGTTTGCCAACATATAGTATAACACATAGGTTTCTTAAGGAATTTCCTTCTCCGTTGGTTCCTTGGCCATACACGGGCAGTCTGATTGCTCTGCAGAGAGAGCAGTGCGTGGAAGGGAGGGCTGCGGAGGAGACCAGGAGCCTCCAGGTCACCACCTGGAATTATTAGCAGACTTCCCAGGGACTCTGGAGCGCTAAGGAACAGAGAATCATATAGTGGGTAATAAGGAACGTCCAAGCAAGATTGCTAAATTAGCTCTACAGCTGGTTAACTTTCTTTCTTTCTTTCTTTCTTTCTTTCTTTCTTTCTTTCTTTCTTTCTTTCTTTCTTTTCTTTCTTTTTTTTAAGCAGGTTAACTTTCTTTAGAGGAATAAAGGAAAACCACCTTGGCAGCTCACGTCTCCACCAGTCTAGAAAGTTATTGCTGTGTGTTCCTTTCTGCAGTGTACTGCTAACCTTGCCAGGTTATTACTGTTCAAGTCTCTAGAAATGGTAAGTTGTTAATCAAACGTATTGTAATATTCTCCCAGAGTGACAGATAGAGGCCAATCAGGCGATGAAGACAAATTATCCATGCTTGGCAATACGACAGGAAAGCAAAAGGATACATGTTCTGATTTATCGTTTACTCCTAATGAGGGCCTGACTTTGTCAGGTTACACTTTTACTTATAGACTTTTGTCCAGTAGACATTGTTTGGTGGAAAAGATAATGCCAAAGATTGTGGGTTTATTGCCTTATTAACCAGTTTGGGATGTAATTTAGGAAACCTGTTTCAGCGGGCATGCCTTTCCTGGCCAACTTTATAAACCTCTGTTCCTTAAATTCTATGTTGGTGGGTCACATACACTGCAGTGAGCAAGGAAATTTTTTCATTTATTCAGAGAACATCAGTGACAACTATTTGAAAACAAATGTTGGAGAAGAGAGCCAGGAAGCTTCTAGCTCACCACCAAAAATTGTGTCAGCTTTGGTGTGCGAGTCTTGGGTTTGAGGATTCTAGGAATCTGAATTCAGAGCTACTTTTTCCTCATGCATTTTACTCTAAGCACCAAACAATGAAAATGAATTAATGATATTAAAATCCCCTTCTCTGCAGTACCTTTTTCTATTGTGTGCAAAGACATAAGAAATTGTTATAAATTCATATTTTAATAGTATGAGCACTGTTGATTGAATAGACGTGCTCATGGTTTGATGTTGTAACAATATGTTCAGAAAATGAGAACTTTTAAAAAATACTTTATTTGTTTATTAGAGAGAGAGAGAGAGAGAGAGAGAGAGAGAGAGCACACAAGCAGGAGGGGGAGGGGAGAGGGAGAGGGAGAAGCAGATTCCTCACTGAGTGCAGAGTCTGACATGGGGGGCTTGACACGGGCTTGATCCCAGGACCCTGAGCTGAAGGCAGATGCTTAACTGATTGAGCCACCCAGGCGCCCCCAAACGAGAGCTTTCTGATTAGCTATTGTCATGCCTATTAATACTGATATCTTGGATTTATATGGCATTTCCCACCCATTCCCTTCCACTTCTTTATCTTTAGTGGAGCACAGAATGTGAAGTATTCCTCTCCTGGGTAATAATATTGTTATCCTTTGGTCTCAAATCTTGGAAATCTTCGAAGTCCTACTATCTAATTACCTTCAAAAAGAAAGGAGTCAAACAACCCCTGGACATCCTCCAGCAAGTTGTCCTGATTCAGTAGGTTTAAGATCGTCAGGGACAAACAAACCTGTATTCCAATAGATTTATTGACTCATTGTAACAAGGGAGAGGGAACACACCAGAGAACCATGGACATTGTGCCAAACGAAGAAACAGAGTTATTGTACAGTTTGGGAAAAGGTGGAGTTGAAGTATAATTTATAGGATGCAGTGATTCGATGCAGGTTCAAAACAAGCCAGAGCTGTGTTAAAGATCAGGTCTGGATTGTGAAATGGACCCTGGGTCCTATTGTTGGAAAATCACAAAGTTATAAAAATGTGGAATGTTATTTTTGGAAATCCCATATTGGAAGCTGTGTCCCTGGATTAGAAATCAAGATTCCATCTCTTTATCAAAGCACCTTAGACCATCCAAGCAAGGGTGAGATGCTCTATCCTTGGCTGATACCATTTCAAACAACAAGTTTCTGATAGTGCGTGGATTTTGACAACAAAATTCCTCAGTGAGTGAGGAAGCACTAGTCATTCAAAGAAGGGTTGTTATGACCTTTAATAGCTGCACGAGTTCTGAGGAGAATGTTTCTTATTAAATGTGCAGCTGACTTTCTCCGTACCTGTAATATCAGCCTCATGAATGGCAGGGCAGATTTTTTTTTTGCTTTCTCATATTGAGCTAATTTCTATTTTCTCAAAGCCATTGAGTATGTAGTGGTTTATCAAAGGACTTTGCAAAAAAGGCTTATTTTAATTTCACCACAATCATGGGATGTAAGGCAACACAACTGTTGATAACCTCGTTTCCACTCCTTTCTTTCCTTTAGAAAGGTAGAGAAAGGAACATCTGGGTGGTCCAGTGGTTTAATATTTGCCTTCGGCTCAGGGCATGATCCTGGGGTTGTGGGATCGAGTCCTGCATCAGACTTCCAGCAAGGAGCCTGCTTTTCCCTCTGCCTATGTCTCTACCTCTCTCTGTGTGTCCTCATGAATAAATAAAATCTTAAAAAAAAAGAAATGTAGAGAGAAATGACAATCAAAATGTCTCAATCCTGAATGTGACTTGTATGAAATATCAAGATTCACCACTTTTCAAGTACAAATTATGGTTTTCCTCTCATGCTTCATAGATGCCCTGGGTATTGGAAACACTTTTACTCTGGACATACATGTTAGAAGAGAGATATGTGCAGATCAGAATTTTTGGTATGTAAGTGAATCTTTAACAACATTTCTACAAAGCATTAAATCCAGCTGTTTGCTAGATCATTCAAAAGTTAGATAATAAATTTTAAAGAGTCCAGATTAATCTTTATTTTTTTTTTAAAGATTTTATTTATTTATTCATGATAGTCACAGAGAGAGAGAGAGAGAGAGAGAGAGAGAGGCAGAGACACAGGCAGAGGGAGAAGCAGGCTCCATGCAGGGAGCCCGACGTGGGATTCGATCCTGGGTCTCCAGGATCGTGCCCCAGGCCAAAGGCAGGCACTAAACCGCTGCGCCACCCAGGGATCCCAGATTAATCTTTATTAAAATGGGCTGTCTTTTGAGATAGAACCTGAACATTCATAATTGCTAAAAGAGAAGTTGTTTCTTTTTCTTTTTCTTTTTTTTTTAATAGGATCCACACCCAGCAGAAAGCCCAACGTGGGGCTTGAACTCACAACCCTGAGACCCCAAGATCAAGACCTAGCTGAGATCAAGAGTTGGACATTCAACTCACTGAACCACCCAGGCACCCCAAGAGAAGTTATTTCTTGTTTGCAGGATTGATCTCTGTCATCTTCTAGGCCATGACTAAGGAAGAAGGGTATGGGGAGATTGGATGTGGATCAGTGTCAACTCTGGTTTACAGGTGACAGGCCAAGTGAGGTCCTCAATAATGCTAGCACTCCCACAGAATGCACTTCTTACTGGTTTTGTAAAGGGAATGACCTCTGGGCTCTTCTGGATGACAAGCCATCTGGCATGTCTTCAGACATGTCTTCATGTGATATACCCATGTGAAAATTTCTACCTCTCTGAGCCTTCTGACCCCTTCTTGGTACTATACAAGGCTTTGGGGGCATCTCCACATCATTTGCTAAATGCTATCCTTTTGTCCAAGCTCCAAGGAGCCAGTTCATTCATAGACAAACCAGCCCCAAATGCCTTTGCCAGGGCCTTAAGCCCTGATGGGAGGAGAGGGCTTCCATATCAATGGAGTCTCCATTATCCACTCTTATGTTTACCCCTCCTGGTCTTATACCCTAAAAATTCACTCCTACAAGTGTTTCTGTCTTGTTTCTGATACATATTAGCCAGTTCTTGCTGGGTTATGCTTATGGGCAATACACAGCCCTTGAGTTTTAATGGCTTAGACAATAAAGTCTACTTCTTGCTCGCTCGGAGTCACAGTGGATCTGGGAGCCCTCCTGGGGTGGTAGTGAATACACATACTAGGTGGGGTCAATCTCTAGGCTCTGTCATCCCAAAACAAATCGTCTAATCAATGTGGCAGGAGAGGTTACACAGAGAATTCTCACTGCCCTTTCTGTGAATCACCTTGCAAATGACGTATGCCACCTCTGATCATAATCCGCTGGTCGGTGTCTCAGTCATTTAGCCATGCCTAATGTGAGGGGCAGGAAAACTTAGGGGGATATATGTGATATTTGGAGAACACTACTGTTTCTGCCACAAATAAAAACAGAAGGCTGAAAAGGACCCATTCTAGATAATACCGTAAGAATGAAGCCACATGGCGGATTCAACAAAGCAAACAAAAGGGAGCCAACATTCAAAAGGTAAATCTAAATGAAAACTAACTTTATTAGGAAGCAAAGGATTAAAGACAGATGATGTTACAAGAGAAATCTTCTAGAATAAAATACTTTGCTTGGTCAGTGATGGAACTTAATGAGTCGGTCTACCTAAATGCAGGCCCAGAAGGTTTTACTCTCTGGCAGGATCCTTGGACTTTTTACCTGCTTAGCAGACCATTCCCCTTTCAGTCATAGCATCAGTAAAGGGAGACAACTTCAGTTACATTTATTTCTGAATCACCCATAAATAATTTCATCAATTGCAGTAAGAAACATCTCTGCGTAGGTCTACCAGGAGATTGAAACCGCATTTATGACCTGAACCTGTTCAATCAGATGGGTTGTCATGACGTCTTAGGTTCCAGAATTAGCTGAGGGTCAGTGTTCAATCATCTTTTAAGGACATGAGAATTTTCTTTCTTTATTTTTTTCTTTTTCAGAGCATCATTATGTTGGAAAATAGACAAAAGGAAGGGCTGGGAACCGTATCAATTTTGGTTTTTGTGGCCTCTGAGTATCCATCAACTATCTAATTGGATAACTAGAATTGCTTTCTTTTGATTGAATTAACATTTTGAATACAGAATCTCTACTGTGTGTAGCCACAGTGATACCTGCATGTGCCTCTGACATGATTTCAAACACTTTGCATACATAATTTAATCTTCAACATTACCCATTCTGACAACAAAATTTTGTTATTGAATAAGGAAGTGGCGTGTTGGAAGACTCACCTCTGGAACCAGCTGGAGGCCATTATTTCTTAGGATGAGATACTTCCCCAAAGGGTGTAGTGTGTGCTCTGAACCAGCTACCAGGGTTTGGTACTCTTTGTCAGGTACTTTATCCAGAATATATTGGATCTGGGAACCCTTCAAGCAAGGCTGACTGATTTGGCTGGTAAAGAAATAATGTGCCCTTTTAAGATTCAGACAGCTTATTACTTACATAAATGGCAAAAGCAGGAAGAGCAAAGGTGCCATCTCCCTGGGGCAGAAGGTCTCATACCTCATTGGAACTTGCAATATGAGGAGATAGTGTGTCATGATACCTCTGGAAGATAAAGTGGTGAGTGGGACATGGCCTCTCATAGTGCTTCACAAGCGTCCCATGCTCTCATGTTCTGGAAAGATCACGGGGCAGGCTGCCAAGACTTAGATCGAATCAACTGTAGTTAAGTCTTGCTTATGCCGTCTATGTGGAGACACGGAAGGTTACCAGGGTGCCATGGCTGAGCCACTTGCCAACAGAACCCAGAATTGTCAGAGATCTTAGTGCCCAAGTCGGGAATGCTTCTATCAGCTGAGCCAATTATGATTCTGTGAATTGAAAACTGGCTATGCTCTGCATCCTGTACAAGTTTCCCGATGCCGCTGGGTATGAGGCCAAAAAGGATGCTATCCAGGATTCGGTAAGGTGATCAGTGACTAGAATATATAAATATTATTATTATAAATAATAATAATACTAGAATATATAAATAGCTTTCTATAAGAGTCAATAATTGGTAATAAAATATATTGGGGGGAAAGTTCATGTTCACAATAATAAGAAAAAATATCAACTGCCTGAGCATTAAAAAAAAAGAAAGAAAGAAAGAAATGGTTAAGTCCTGTGTGGAAAGGGGAAAGGAAGAGAAAATTTTGCATAAGGACCTAATAAAAGATTAAAATATAAATGGAAGCGCATAATACAATCCTTTATAGAAAGACCCAATATTTTCTACTGTAAATTTCACTCCAAATTATTCAATAAGAGAACTAGACAAGATAATTTTATATTTTATTTAGAAAAATAAATGAACAGAAATGGCAATAAAAATTTTTGAAAAAGTTTGTACATCAGAATAGTCAGTAGGAGGGACCACAATGTGTCATCATGTAGCTGCTGAGGAATTGACTGGGGGTGGGGTGTGCAGGGTGGGGATGGGGGGTGGGGGGAGGGGGATTGGCTATTTTATGAAAGATTGGGCTCCAACTGAGAACTGTTCTCGCCTGTTTCCTGAATTGCAAAAGTGTTTTTGAAAGTATTCTCAAATATGGCCTCTAGCTGAAGTCCCAGCTTGATGAATTTCTGGTTGTCCTGGAAAGGCAAAGACAAAAATGAGAATGGCCATTGCACTGAGCTTAGGCTCACCATGTTTTGTAGAATCTAGAACTTCATTTTACACTATATCAAATGTTAAGTGAGAATTAATACAGTTAAGGGTGCTTTGTTCCCTGATAGCTTGATCATTTCTCTTTATCATTTCTCTAATTCTTCATCAGAGCCTTATCGATTAATTTTTTAAATATACTAATTGCTTGATTTTCGAACACAGCACCATTGACTTGCAACACTACAATATGGTACAGAAAGGGGTTCATGGAGCCCCCCCTCTCTCCCTCACCCCTTAAGATAATCCTTGTTTACTTTTTGATATAGCACTAAGAAATTCGGAAGTAATCCAAGATTTTGAAATTTGAGAAATTTGATTTGGCAGCTTCTTTTAAAGGAGAGAAACACTAGTGGCCTCTATAATGCACTTTGAGCCGCAGAGAGACCTGGGTGTCCTGGTTCCTGCGGTGATGCCCCTCCTTGCCTCATGGCCCTGTGGGTTTTGCCTGTAAGCAACCTCCCATGCTCCGCATCCGGGCTGCAGCACTGGGAACCAGTGGTGCTAGGGAGATGCCCAGGCGTGAGGGCGAGGCCCCTGTCCACACATTCCCGAAGGCCCGGATGCCAGGGCAGGTGCACAGAGGCACCAGCAACTGCGCATGCTCATACTCTATGCCTGGCACCCAATCTCCCTCGGCTGATTCCCTTAGTCTGGTTGAGTAAGGATAGGAACCCAGGACAAAGGTGGAGACTTCGGGGACATGCACAGAGCTACCCAGGTTTAGGGGGGAAAATGATCTTCCATTTCTTTTTTTTTTTATTTTATTGGAGTTCAACTTGCCAACATATTGCATAACACCCAGTGCTCATCCCATCAAGTGCCCCCCTCAGTACCCATCACCCAGTCACCCCACCCCCTGCCCACCTCTTTCTACCACCCCTTGTTCATTACCCACCATTTGCTTCGACGTGGATGGAACTGGAGGGTATTATGCTGAGTGAAATAAGTCAATCAGAGAAGGACAAAAATTATATGGTCTCATTCGTTTGGAGAATATAAAAAATAGCAAAAGGGAATAAAGGGGAAAGGAGAGAAAATGAGTGGGAAATATCAGAGAGGGAGACAGAACATGAGAGACTGCTCTTCCATTTCTTGCAGAAGGCAATAGGTCTGCAGTCCACTGCTCTCTGTGGGTGAAAACTGAGTACCTAGGAGCAAGTAAATGCTGAGGTCCTAAGATGATGTCTGCAAGGACACCTAGTGTATTGTTATTTTCCCCACCTTAGACTGCAGGGCTTCTAGAATACTTCCAGAGTTTGCACTTGTGTGGCTTAAACAGGATGAGGGAAACGGTAACATTTAGCTGATACAAGAAGAATAAATGGCAAGGGAGCTTAACTCAAAGAAAGAGGGAGCCCCTTACCTTGTAAAATGTCCTGTGGTTCTGAAAGATGAGGCACATGTCCCGTACAAACCCTTCCACATGGAGGTACAGTTTCATATTCAGCTTTTTCTTGATTTTGTTTAGCCACATGGGCTTCTTTGGGCCATGAGATGCCCCTCTACTCTGCTGACAAAAAAAAGTGCCGAGGGCAGGCTGTTAGCGCCATTCCAAGTCTATCCTCCCCAAATTCCTATGTTGAAATCCTAACCCCCAGTGTGATGGTATTAGGAGGTCAGGCCTTTGGGAGATGATTAGATTGTGAGGATAAGTCTCATGAATGGGATTAGTGCCCTTATAAAAACGACCCCAGAGAGCTCTCTCCCTCTCCTTCCACCACCTGAGGACACTAAAAGAAGTTGGCAGTCTGCAGGATCACACTGGCACGCTGACCTCAGACTTTCAGCCTCCAGAGCTGGGAAGAATAAATGTCTGCTGTTTGAGGTGCCCTGGCTCTAGTACTTTGTGGTAGCAGCCTAAATGGCCAAGCATTGAGTAAGCGGACTCTGACATCCATCAACAAGACAAGGATAATGACAATTGGACCCGTTGGAACCATATCACAAATTTGACAATGCCAGTTTTGGGCTTTGTTGTCTTCACTTACGTAATGCGGTTTTGAGGCAAAAAAGACGCTTTTTGAACAGCAGTAGACCTTCAAGAGGACAAATTCACATTTCTGCAAAAGATAAATGAGATTTTATTTTTTTATTTTTTAGATTGTATTTATTTATTCATAATAGACACAGAGAGAGAGGCAGACACAGGCAGAGGGAGAAGCAGGCCCCATGCTGGGAGCTCAATGTGGGACTCGACCCTGGGACTCCAGGATCGCCCCCCGGGCCAAAGGCAGGCTCCAAACCACTGAGCCACCCAGGGATCCCCGATAGATGAGATTTTAAGTGATGAGCAGCTTGGAGAGGATGAAATGTAAATATGCTCGGAGGGAATGCACAGCTCCCAAACCTGTGGCCTATGACAAAACACAGAAAGGGCATTTTCTTTGGAACACAAATTGTAGTTGTAGGTCTGTGATCAAAGCACACGGGGGACAGCAGTTTGCCCTTGGGCATCATCCCTCCAGCCCCTGCAAGGCGGTGCTTCTTCTCTCAAGTCCACAGAAAAGAGAAGACTTCAGGTTTACATTTCAACTCACCAACTGTTCCTCAGGTACCATCCGCCTCTTTAGGACCTCAGATGCCTGGTGACATAATTGGCTTTGTGGACACTTTTTCTGAAGAGCCTTTATCCTGCAGAAGATGCAACTCCATGGGTCCCTGAGAGGTTGGGCACAAGATCAGCAGAGGTAGGTTGTCTGTGACTCAGCCACTGTTTCTACAGCTGCTAAAGGCTTCTGTTCAGGAATGACGGGTGGTTTCCACATTGTACCCAACTTCTCTCTTGGACACTCCTCTGCATTAAAGCCCCATTTGGGCACAGTTTCCAGACACCCCTCCCGTTAATCATGGTAGTGGGGCTGACAGTTTGCTGAGTGAGCTGCCATGGTGGGTGACAGTCTTTCATTCATCTCAAAACTTAGAGTTCTCATCTGAGCCACTGTGGGCTCAGTAATGATCCCTGCCTATTAAAAATTGAGGATTGGAGATCAGTACCTTCAGTACTGGAGTCTTGGGCCTCACTGAGCCATCAGACCATAGTAAAAGCAAACCAGCTCTTGCTTCTCAACTTAGCAGAATAAGCACAGAGCACAGAGCTACAGGCATCCTCTCCTCCAGCACTGCCATATCTGGACCTAGAATCTCTGCTGCAGAAATTTCTTAGAAAGGAACTCTATGGACAGAGTAGTTCAGACATCTGCCATTTGCTCCTAGATTCATTGTCCATTGTCCTCTGCCAGGATCCCTATGCTGAAGGGCTCTCAATAGTCAAGCGGATACACCCTCTCTCCTAGATATGTCATTTGTCCCTCTCCTTGACTACTCCAGTGCTTGCTCAAGGGGTCCATTCCTAAGTACGTGTGGTGTGAGCATGGGGACTATACATGGGCTCAGCAATAGAGCAGATCTGTCTTCTGCCCCTGCAGATTGCGCATCTGTAGAGCTTTATGCAGAATCCCTGAGATGACATTATTTCCTGGGAACTACCGGCTGGAACAGGTGGATTACATTAGACTCTTCCACCCCGAAGGGCAATGCCCTGTCTTCAGAGGGACAGACACAATCCTGGTAGAAATCATCCACCCGCCCTGGCCATAGCAATGCTGTCTATACTATACTCACGGGATGCCTTATCTATCTCCATGTTAATTCCACATCCCATCATCTCTGACCAAAGATACATTTTAGGGCAAAGGAAATGCAGCATTAATGGCCATCTGAAGGCTCAGCAGAGTTCCAGATTTGTCAACTTTTTATGTTCCCATAGTAGGTAGTATATGCTTTAAACCAGCAGCTAATGTATGGTGTCATAACCCCATCAAAGTGCATGGGTGTCTGGGAACCAAGTGGGGGTTATGGGAGTGACACCTTTCTAGTGTTTCCCATTAATCTATTGCTGCTAGCGCCATTAAAAAACTCTGGATCATATTTCTGGATCCTGATACTTTAAGACGCTGCTCTCTCTGCATCAAGACACATACAACCAGAGACAAACTGCAGGCTGAATGCACATGGTAGGAGGATCTGTGCCATAGGAAGGAAGGGCAAGAGGGGTCCAGTCTCACTGACCTGTTAGCATCTATATGGTGGATGTGGCATGTCTCATGAAAGGACTTTGGACAAGTATCACAGCAGAACAGCTTTCCGGGTCCACGGCAAACCTCACATATATTTGAGTTTTCTGGCTAGAAGGGGAATAATGCAGACATCACAGGAATCAGTGAGACCCTGGAAGCTCAGCACATTTGAGATTCTAGAACACAGGACCTTTGCTTGTACCCAGCTGACACTTTTAAATTTTTCTCATCAAAATATTAAGGAACAACACTGAGTGAAGATTTTAGAAGATATTCTGATCTGTAGCGAAGTTTGGGAGGAAAGGGCCTTTAAGACCATTAAAGTTTTCTTTATTGAGACACATTCTGACACAAATGAGCAATAACCACAAAAAAGGATGAGTTAAAGATAATCTGAGAAATTTATTATTTGGCTCAGAGATATAATACAGTGTCTTATCTAGCTGTCTACATTCATCATCTACATTGACTTGTTGAAGAGTAATTTACTGAGAATTTAATATAACGGATTATACTTCTGACATATCACCGCATCCTATTTTCTTGGCCATAAGCTCCTCATGATTTGAAGGTCCTGGAGAAGAGTTCCTGCACTGTGGACTCCGTGACTGGAGGGCTCCTGGGCCTGTGACAGTACCTCTGGGGTGGAAAGATGTGGCCACAGATGGCCAGGTAGTTGCCAGGGAAGACAGAGCTCTTGGCTCTGGGAGCCTGTGGGAAGATGTTCTATGATTTAGTTCGATATATAAGGTGTGGAGATGCCATCTCCAAATGGTCAGGGATTGTGATAACAGTGACCACCACAACTGAAGGCCATACCCTCATTTTCTAAGCACATAGAAAACCCTGGTGGAAGGGCCCACAAAATTCGTTGATACTGGATCAATCTCAATATGTGGGACCTTTAACTAAATTTAACTTCATTTAATGATATTAAGCATTTGATAGTGTTTTATCTAAGTATTGTGGAGTAACGAACACATGTAACAAACACTAGAATTAATAGACCGAAATAAGACTTGATCAAGGAATGAGCCCATGTTGGGTAAAAGAAATACATTTTTTTCCCTGCTGTTTTTTGTGTATGTGTCTATGTAATAATCTACGTGGCAATAACATGTGAATCCCTACGTGCTACAATTTCTTTGTAAGATGGTTGTGTGCCTGGCCTGGAAAAATGACCAGAAGGATGAGCACCGGGCTCCTCTTCTGGGGCCACCTGAACAGCAAGAGAGCCAATTGAGGAAGACTGTGTGGTGGGGAAACATTTCATCCAGCTCTACACCTAGATGAAAAGATGAAAATATCTTGTCTATATCATGGGCTGGAGGAAGGATTTACATCCTCGTGTGACAATCTAGGTACAAAATAATGCACAAAGCGAGTGAGCATGAGAGAGCATGAGAAAGCATAAGCCAGGGAAGGGACAGCAGGAGAGGGAGAGGCAGGCTCGATTAGGAGGAAGTCTGATATGGGGCTTGATGCCAGGACCCTGAGATCAGGACTTGAGCTGAAGGCAGGTGCTTAGCCAACTGAGCCACCCAGGCACCCCAATACTCTGCTTCTTTTTTTCAGATATTCAATTCATCACCAGTCCTGCTGATCCCATTTTTCAAATATCCCACCTCCTTCTCAGTGTTTCTGTGAGGTCCAAGGCCATGAGGATGCAGAGGCCCTTCTAGCAACACTGTCTTACTAGCCAAAGAACAGCAGCCTGCTTTTTGGGTTCTAAATGGTAATAGAATATCATCCTTGCGCCCAATGTGCTGATGTGAAAAAGAAGAGACACAAAAATCACACATAAGAGGAAATTCTAGGTTCTTGTGTTTTGCCCATGCTCTCCCTTTATTGAAAGGCAAAATTTAAGGAATAGGTTGCCAGGGTCATCCCTGGACACATCCCTACATGGGCCATGTAAACATTTTTCTCTTTTGTCAGAACAGATGACACTCATTGATGCTGACCAATGCTGGGTCAAGGTTTCTGGACCATCATCTTACAAAGTGCACTGTAGACAGGCCCTGAGAAAGAATGAATAAACATGCCGATCCAGTGTTGGAAAGCTCATGGTCTGGGAAGCCCATATGTAACCTTGACACATATCTCTTTAACCTTTTTAGTAAGAAATTTGTCCTTTTGCTTGACAGTAGTTCTCAACCTGATGTACGATAGAATTATCTGGAGGGCTTTAAAAAAATCCTGATGCCCGAGGCCCCATCCTCAGAGATTCAATTAATCACATGTGAGTTTGGTTGTTTGCTTCACCAGGGCGGGGACATAGGCAGTAGGTTTTAAACATTCCCCAGATGGCTTTCAGGTCCAGTCATTCATGGAGACCTCTGGCTTCAAAAGCAGTGGTTTCTGGATCAGCAGAAGCAGCACCCATTGAACAGCAGTGGCCCACAACTTTGTGCATTAAAACCAGCGAGGAGCTTTGGAAAATACTGACCATAACATCAGAACCTCCAGCTGATTGCCCTGTGCAGCCAAGGTTGGGAGCCCAAGATCGAGAGGGATTTCTCCCAGCAAAGCCTGGGAGCTGTGAGTACAGTCATTATCAGCCTACGACATCAGTCACAGAAAGGTTATGAAAAGGAGTGAGGACATTCTTGTTAGAAGAATTGCCTTCTTATCACAGAGGGCTTGGTTGTGAGCTGCAAGAAATAACCCTCCATGTCCATTCCAGTTCTCAGAAAATTTGCACAGACCCCAGAGATGAGAGATATTCTAATACTCAAGGGTCCCACCTCCAGCAGAGGAATGGGAGTGGTGTGGATGCATCTAGATCGTGCTGCACAATGCATTTGCTAGAAGGCCAGAGGGCACAGCAACCCTTTTCTATCCCCTCTTGGTAGGCATCCTGTATCAGTACAGCTGCTCATCATTCTATAGTGAGAGGTTCCCCCTGGAGTTGTGCAAAAAAGGTGACTGTGCCTAAAACATGGATCTTGTTGCAATGAAAGCAATCAAAGTGTGATTCAGCTTAAATGGAGGGGCCATCTGTGATGTTGGCCAACTTTAAAGCAAGGCCTATGGGATCAGAAGGGTCTGCACATAATCGAGCTCTAGCCAAGCAATTTGAGTAAAAATGTTTGTGATTTGCTAGCTTCAGTCTTAGCCAGCTCAGTACCCTGGTGGCTCCCTTGAGACGGACTCCAGGGTTTCCACAAAGGACCCTGCAGCTACTTCTCTGCAGTCTCCACCTGCCCCGTGTACATTTCTCAGCAGGACTCATGACAGGGTCCACCCCTGTACTTGCCAGCTTAGCCCACCCAGCCTGTTCCTTCTGGCTGATGCTTCAAACCATCTGAGCTATCTTGGAGTGCGTGTTTGTGGTCTTCCTTCCCTCCCTTTTCCCCTTCTTTAAAATGCTGCGATTCTCCCAAATGTGCTCCTTACCCCTAATTTGCAGGCCAGCCTTGGCTATTACCACTTTAAGTCCTGGCTCTAGAGACCCCAGTAGTCTAGTCCTCTGACTCCCATACTCACTTTTGAGGGGAAATAAGGAAACAGGAAGGTTTCCCTGAACAAATGGAAAGGAGACTTTCATGCAGAGACACCAGCTCCCAAATCAGCTCCCAAATCAGCTCCCTGGTGTGGGTCACGCGTCTGCCATTCTCTGCTCATCACACACAGTGGTGCCCTCCAACTGAGTGTGCAGGTGTAGCAGGGAAACGCAGCAATGACACAGGTAATGTACGGAGGGATAAGGCCTGGATTATTCTGGGGTCACGGGTGAGGGAGTTAGTACTTACATAAGGGTCAAAAAAGTTGTTGCTGGATCCCTGGGTGGCGCTGTGGTTTAGCGCCTGCCTTTGGCCCAGGGTGCCATACTGGAGACCCCGGATCGAATTCCACGTCGGGCTCCCCGTGCATGGAGCCTGCTTCTCCCTCTGCCTGTGTCTCTGCCTCTCTCTCTCTCTCTGTGACTATCATAAATAAATAAAAATTAAAAAAAAAAAGTTGTTGCTGCTAGACTGAAAAGAGAGAAAGATTGAGTGACAATATTGAATATGATTTTTCATTAACCACACATTTAAGCAAACTTCTTTACGTAAAGGATTCATGCCATGGCCCTCCCTTTGTTTCATAGCTGTGTTTATAAACAGGGTCTGGATGGCTAACTGGAGAATGAGGAAACATGAAATTATATGTCCCCGACGGTTTGGCCCAATGCAAGTTTTCTTTTCTGGCTATCAGACCCAAAGCAGGCCTTTCTGAGCCGGTCCTGAATTCTACAGATAGAGTTGGAGCTGCAATGAGGGAATCAGCCTGAGGATTAAATGTCCACAGCCCCCAGCAACCACAGCGCCCAGAGTCCTGGATGCCGTGCAGGTGTCCTAGAGAATCCCTCTGCCTTCTGCAGCTCACCCAGGGCATAGCCCTGAAAAGAAAATGGGTCTAAGGTCCCCAGTCCTGTACCACTTCTTCCTGAAGCTAAGCACCTCTCCACTTTGTCCTGAATCCCAAAAGCTTGCATTGACCTTGGATATCTGTGGACTGACTTGGCCTCATTCAGCCTGGAACCATGCCTGCCTCTGCTTCTACCTCCAGTCCGAGGCAGTGAGGCCACAGATAAGCCACTCAGTATGATCCCAAGCACAATGACCTGAAAGACAGGTACATCACTGCCTGCCTCTCAGCGTGGCCTAGAACCCCCCACCCCACCCCAACAGTTATTGTCCCACATTAGACAACGAAGTTGAAACAATCCTTTGGGTCTCTTGCTTTGGTCTCCTGCGTGCGGCCACTGGCCAAGCATAAGTTTAGGGCTCAGTGTGTGCTCCACAGGTGTTTGTTGAATGGATACAAAAGTGCACAAACACATGAACAAGTCGTCACTTAGGAGAGGAGTTTTCTTCGCAGCCAGTAAATGATCAGCTCGGAGTTTTCGGTTTTATTATCTCGGGACACCTCAGCTATCACCATCGGGTTAAACAGGAATCTTATGAGCAGGAAAACTGCAAGCAGCACCACCTGTCATTTGATGGCACAGGGAATAGAAGCCTAGGGGCCGGGAAGGAAGAGACTCTGGAGAGATGCTCTGAGAACTGAGGTAGTCACACCTTAAGAGCTGTAAGCCCAGAGGCACCTGAGAGGCATCTGTGATGAAGGGAGATGGCCAACTCCCCTGATTAACCCACACTGAGTTACCCTTGACTCCCTAGCACTGGGCAGAGATGTTTGCTCTTAATGAACAGAGCAAATAGTGTGTCTTTCTCTAGAAAATCCAGTGGATGCAAGCTCCGGCGACTAAGTCTCTAGCATAAAGTCAGTGGAGCAGTTAGCCCCAGAAGCCAGCTTTGTGAAGACTGTGACTTTTTGGTGCAGCAGAGGTAGACCAAAGTCACATCTCTGGGAGGTTAGAAAAATGAAGTTCTTCTATCTGCCTGTGCCCCACACAGTTTCTCCCTCACACTCACTCTTGGAGAGGCCAATGGAAGATGTCAACTATCCCACCTCCTTCCTTGGAATCCATGCAGCATCGAAACCACTGGTTCATGAACTCCGCATGTGACTTTGAAGGAAAGAGAATTCACCTCCATAGATGGAACTAAGGTTTGCAAAGCCCCTCTGGTGAAGCCTGATGTTTTCACTCCCAAACCATCTCCCTGGTGTGGCGTCTCCACAAAGCAGAAGATCTTCCAGGTCAGCAGTGTCTCACCCACACACACCAGTCTTCCGATCTCCCTCCTCTCTAAGGTGATATCTCCATAAAGGAAAGGAATGTTCCCTTAAAGAAGGATCCCTTGAAGAAGGACTCAGTGTGAATGTGCCTGTGTGCATGTGAAGGAGAGGAAAGATACAAAAGAAAGGGAGAGACTGTGACAGGGGTGGTTTGCTCCACCAGGTGACATATGGCTATTATTCATCCTAAGGGGGTGAGACATAGGCCGAAAGTCATGTGATAATTACCTTTCTTCTTTTTCTTCTTCTTGGCGGGTCTGGTAGGTATTTATTCTGAAAGAGAAATGGGATTAATGCTACGATGGGTCCTTGTTTCTACTCTGCAAGCTTGGTATTCCCAGCTGCCTTCCAGATATATCCCACTATCAACATAAATTCAAGGAGTCTTCATGGAAAAGATGCCCCTCTCCAAATCTGTAACACACTCTTCTCTCTTGCCAGGCTCAGCTTTAAGGTAAGCTTTAAAAACCACATCCTCTCTTACTTTCCTCATAGCCTTGCCGGTTTTCCCTTCCTGATGTCTGCTACACTCACTGCTTCCTTTTCCATCCCCCAGGACCCCTCTAGCTTGTGACTTTATACCTGACATACTACAGCTACTCCACTGGCACATACCTGCTGAGTGATGGACAAGGAGCAGGCCCCATCAGTGGCCCCAGGCACACAAAGATGTCTAGGGCTTTGCGGAGACAAGTGGGAAGAGCCCCCATGATAGAGTGGGTAGGGATGATGAAGTGTGAACTGTGCTCTCACAGAGTATTTTGGGGTTCAGAGATGGGTCAGTGTGGTAGGCTCTAATGGCCACCACAGATGGTCAGATCCCAAACCACAGACCTCTGAATTATTTTAAGTGGTAAAAAGGTGTAATTTAATTAAGGATCTTGCAATGGGGAAATCATTCTGATGATCTCTATGGGGCCAATGTAATGACGCGCATCCTCTTGCCAGAGAGGCCAGAGGGTCAGTGTGAGTAGTAGGAAAGGTAATGACAGAACACGAGGTTGGAGTGATGTCAGGAAGGGCCTTCAGCCCAGGAATGCAGGCAGCTTCCAGAAGCTGAAAAAAGCAAGGAGCAAATTCCCCCTGGAAGGCTCCAGAGAGAACCAGCCCTGCCCACACTTGAGTCCAGTTAAAGTGATTTCAGACTTCTAGCCTCCAGAACTGTTAAGATAATGGATTTGTGGTGTGTGTGTGTGTGTGTGTGTGTGTGTGTGTGTGTGGTGTTTTAAGCCACCCAGGTTGTAAAGAATTGTTACAGCAGCCACAGGAAGCAAGTGTAGTGAGTGTGTGCTGTTGGAGCTGGGCCTTGGAGGCTGGGCGAGGGTGCATCAGGCACAGAGGCCGTGAAGGTCGTGTGAGGTCTTCGTGGCTGCCAGCACTCCACCTTCCAGCCCATCTTGCATGCTCTGAGCAGATTAATACTTCTAAAGCAGTGTTTCACCGGTGTTAGTCCCTAACTCAACCACACCCACCCGCCCTCCCCCGCCCCCGCCACCCTCATGATCTCTCCATGCCTGCAGAAGTGTCTAGACTCCTTCCTCCAGCCTCAAGATGTCTTCCATCAGCCCAACCCCTGTATTTAACCTTATTACCCTTATTTCCTGACAAATCATGGGCAGGATTTTCATGCCATCCTTTCTCTGTAGAATGCCTCCTTCCCACATTTTTGCTCATCAGGACCATTCTTTCAAGACTCAGCTCAGTGCACACTGTTCCATGAAAGTGTCCTTAACCTCAAGGCCGGAAATGACCTTCCCTCCCCAGAGCCACTGCACGTCTTCCTGCCGGAGCCCCTCCTTAGAGCACCGCCAGGCTTGCAGTCCTGTGGTGATGAGGCTGGTGTGCTGCCTGCTGCGTGAAGGAGGTGCTGTGACCATGCAGCCTTCCTCCTACATGGCTGGGGCTCAGACCTTATAGTCCCTGTGGCTTTAGATGTGTCTCAATAGATATTTGCAGAACAAAGAGCTTTTCTTTATCATTAGAACAGCACAAGGAAGGGCCCTCTGGGTCAAGTGAAAGAGTCAGAACGCTCAAGTTCATCTTCAACAGAGACCCAGTCCATTTTGTCCACATCAGGGGTCCAAAGGAGGCATTTTGGGAGGTGGGTAGAGGGATAGGGTAACTGGGGGGACAGGTAATTGGGTGATGGGCATTAAAGAAGGCGTGTGATGTGATGAGCGCTGGGTATTATATGTAAACTGATGAATTATTGAACTCTACATCTGAAACTAATGATGTGCTCTATGTTGGCTAATTGAATTTAAATAAAAAAAACAGATGCAATTTATCTATATTCTCTTCCATGAATGAATTTCAGAAGGCGATCAAAAGAAATAATGTTGGGACACCTGAGTGGGTCAGTGGTTGAGCATCTGCCTTTGGCTCAGGACGTGATCCTGGGGGTCCTGGAATCTAGTCCTGCATCAGGCTCCCCGGAGGGAGCCTGCTTCTCCCTCTGCCTATGTCTCTGCCTCTCTCTCATGAATAAATAAATATTTTTAAAAAGAAAAAGAAAAGAAATAATATTAAAACTTTCTGTAATCCAGGAAACACCCATGCCAATGGGTTATCTTCAGATACATGTAGTTCTATTTTGCTACTTTAAACATTGGCCTCCAAAGTCTAAGACCCCCGCTCCCCACTTAAATGCTTACCTGGGACCACATTACATAGGGGTGATTATTCATGGCCCCATCAGGGCCATAGTTTACTGTCCTACCTTCAAAAGGATAAGAGTTCATGCATTTAGAGGATGAAGCTGTACCATAAAGCAGCCAAGATGCTTCTGAGCGCAATGTTAGACCTGGGCAAGACCCTTGATTTAAGCCACTTGTCCTTGGAATACCTCAATCAGGTTTTTCAGGGGAAATCCGCCACATCTCACACTCATCTTCCAGTTCTTGGATCGTGAGTGGTTTCCTTCAACTTCAAATTCCCTGAGAGTGAACCAGCTTCCATTCTCACCCTTTATACACTTCTCTGAGGTTCCTATGAAACCAAAACAAGGAGTTGCCAGGGAGCGGCGCTCTCCCCCGCCGACCGTGGAATCCCCAGAATGTGACCTGGCCATGGATCTGGCCCACCCATCTTGGGCCCAGAAACTACAGCAGGAAAGCTGAGATCCTCCTCAGGGGCCCCAGAAGCAGCTCAGAAGGCAAGGGCAGGAGGGGAATTCCTGCCCTGTGTGCAACGTCTTTGACCTTTGTGCACACGTCTTTGACCTTTGTGCAATGAGGACAATAATTAGCACCAACATTTATTTTTAAAATGTATTTCACTGTATTCAAAAGAGAAAAAAAACTGAACGGTTCTGAAAATGAATGAGCAAGATTCTTTTCCTCTACTTCTGTGAGAGCCAGGATGAGTTTCAGAGGGGGCAAATGAAGCCGACAGGTGGCCATGTGGCAGCTGTCACCACAGCCACATCTGCCTCCTCTTGTACAATGTCGGTCATCCAGCTAATGGCAATCAATTATTTCTCATATTTTGGGGGTGCTTGCATAGCTCAGTCAGTTGAGCATTTGTCTCCTGATTTTGGCTCAGGTCAGGATCTCAGGGTCATGAGATTGAGCCCTGTGTTGGGCTCCACACTGAGCATGGATCTGCTTGGAATCCTCTCTCTCCCTCTGCCCCTTCCCCCTCTTTCCCTCTCTCTCTCTCTCTTAAAAAAATTATTTCTCATATTTTGGACTCATTGCTACTTTATGGGAAAAGTATTATAGAAATGTCATTAAGTGGGAAAAGTATTATAGAAATGTCATCAAGTGGGAAAAGTTAAATTACACATCTGCAATACGGTTACAGAGCAAACACTGATACTTGTTGGTGCCTAAAGAACTGTATTTGGGGAGGGGAGAATCAATTATGGCAGAGGAACATTTGTACTATACTTTAACAGTTATGAATTGCAAAATATTTCATATCTGTCATTTCATTTTTTTCCCCTTATAATAACACAGCGAGGCAAAGTTTTATTATTATTCCCATTTTGTACAGGAGGAAGTTCAGGATAAGAGACAGTAGCAATTTGGCCCAGATGAGACAGACACCTGTGGTATCCCTGAAGCTCAAATCTGGGTTGTCTAATTCTAAATACTATGCTCCTCCCCACTAACACAAGGCCACACAGAAGAATGGGGCTGTGAAGGTTGTTACCAGATTACTCAACGTGTACATTTTCCACCCTCATGTTGAAGTACTTGATCTTGCATTGGGTGCTGGATAGGCATCTTGTGGACATTTTCCATGGGGAGAGGAGAGATGCTCTGTTACATGTAAGCATGGAAATGCCATCCTTGCTCCAGCCTATCTAGGATGCTGGGCAGAAAAGAGCTAACAGGGCAGACAGCAGGCTGCTCTCTTTAGGAAGATTTATTTGCAAGGTTGGCTCTTGGCTGGCATTGGGGAACGTGCATTTGGGGAGTGGTCCCACCATTCCCAGAACTTAAAAGAGTGTCTCACTGTCTGAAGCTGTTTATATAAGCAATATAAATAGTTTATGACGAACACTTGCTTTCCTTCTGGGCATCTGGAATTTTGGTGTGTGCTAGGCAGAGGACACTTACGTGACTAACCCCTGATAAAATCCTGGCCTCCAAGACTGGGGGCAGCCTCTCTGGTAGATGGCATTTCACACATGTTGCTACAATTCATTGCTAGAGAATTAAGTATATCCTGTGTGACTCTACCAGGAAAGACTCCTGGAAACTGGCACCTGGCTTCCTTTGGACTTTGTTTTGTGTGTCTTTTCCTTCCTTGATTTTGCCTTGTACCCTTTCAATCTAATAAATCATCACCATGCGTTCACTATATGCTGAGTACTACAAATCCTCCTAGTGAATCATCAAACCTAAGGATGGTCTTGGGAGATTTCCAACACAGGTGTCTACTCCTTGAACAATATGTTATTCACACAGGTATGTTTTATTTGAAAAGCACAGAAGATCATGAAACCCACCTTGTTTCATTTTCTCCTTATATAAAATCCCCTTTGCCTCTCCACAGGTCACAGGAAGTTCTGGACGGTGAAAATCCATGTGTGTATCTCTGGGAATTCTTGGACCTGCAAAGAAGCATCATTTTTTTTTTCCATTCCATCTTTCTCTACATCTGTGCACTGTTTGACCTCATCCAACTTGAGATCTTTCTTTTATAACTTAAAATGTGTGGGAGAGCTTTTCCCCATGAACTGATTACTCTTCCGGGTCTTTCTTCTATGGCAGATTAGGTGCATGAAGATAACATCATTCTCCAAAACCCTATGTTAATAGCCTTGTGTGGAGGTGTCTGAATCTCTAAATTTGTTGATCACAACTCGTCATTGTGCAGTGATTTTTCTCCTGCCATATTGCTGCTTTGGAGTTAAAATCTCATAGCTGGAGATAAAACCTCATTTTTTAATTTATCTCCTTGCTTGAGTAATCAGCTGTTGGACAGAAAGCAGGATTGCAATAGGGCACCTGGCAGGGGCGCTTCTCCTTGCTTGTCTTCTCTCCTTGCTCTCTGCTTTTGCACTTCTCCTTCATGTGAGTTTTCTCTGTGGCTACAAAGGAAACTCAGGGTGGAATGTGCTAGAACTGAAAATTACTCAGGGCGGGAGCCTCTGTACAACCTTTGGGAGGGGCTCTGGGATCTGATTCTGCCGAAGCAGGTTTTGCAAGTCTTGAACTTAAGAAGCAGTAGCATCCGCTCCTGCCCTTCTGACTAACACTGAGGGGGATTCATTAAAGACACATTCTGGGGCTTCTCTCTGGAATGGAAAGGGTGGATGGCCATGGTCCTTTCAGAGTTAGTTCTGTTAGAGCTGGGATGAGCCTAGAAGTCACTCAGTCTAATTCATCCACCACCCACCAATTCACAGAGAAGGAAATTGAGGCAAAACCCCCCACAAATGATAATCCAATGTCACACAACCAAAGGAAGTTTGGGAATTAGGACATAGGTCTTATATTAACACCCAGGGTTCCCATTAATGGGCAACCTATGGTTCTCCACAATGGGGGCAAGAGAAGGGCCAGCTAAATATCATGAATGTCATACCTTTTATTATTTTTTTTATGTTTACTTCTTCGAAAGTTATCAGTGTAGGTAAAGAAGCCCTGTACAGGCCCAAGGATGCCTGGAGTCCCTCAGATCAACTGGCTAATCAATGGATGGGTGTTATACCATCTTGCCTTGTTGTTGAAATTAATCAGGGCCAATGAATATCCTAACATTTGTTACTTGCTCTAAAAGCCAATTAAGAAAATTGACTTACCACTCAAAACACGGAGTATAAAATAAGAATTTAAAAATTACCTCTTTTTCTGCCTCTTCTCAAAGGCCCAGTGTTGGTTGTTTTTCTCCCTGAGAAAGTTAAAAAAATGCAAATGTCTATTGTTTATAACATTATATTGCAAATAGTAGTGTTTTACAAAAACACTATTCAAATGTAACTTTTTAGAAGCCTGTCTAGTACTTTAAGAAAAATAGCAAATATGTGAATGAATCAGGAGTCAGGAACTTTTTCCTGTAAATGGTCAGATAGTAAATACTTAAGGTAGATAATTGCTGTTATGGCTACTCAAACCTGCTGTTGTATTATGAAAGCACCATGGATAATATGGAAATGAAAAGATGTGGCTGTGTCCCAATAAAACTTGATTTACAAACAGCCAGTGGGCTGGATTTGTCCTTCAGGCCACAATTTGCTGAACCCTGGCCTAGACTTAGTTACAAAGATGATACTTGACTGAGAGTCATCCTATATTTCTTTTACTATTATCTCCAAATAGGTTTGAACCAGGGGTTTGTGGATTTCTGAAGCAAATGGATGAGAAGAATAGTGAAGTTAGACATCTACTGAGTGCTTCTTGTGTGTCAAGAACTATCCTTAGACCTTGCCTCCATTAACTTACTTCATCCCTAGAACAAATATCCAACAGGAAGTAATACTCTCCTCATTTTACAGATGAGAAAAATCAATGCTCAGAGATAATAATACAGATTAAATGAAGGTGTGGAGGATTTCCTTTGATAAAGAGACAGAAATAAAAGTCAGTAATACAAGGTCTCAAGGGAGATTTCATGGTGGAATCTACCAGTCAGATAGCTACCCAAAACCCTAAACTTAAAAGAAGATTTTTGTGCTGAAGGTGGTGGCAAAAATGAACAGAGTTCAAAACAACTCAATGAAGGGGAACTTAACAGAAATTGATGCCCACGTTCTAAAAGATGTAGGGTTAGAGATAGCACAAAGCGTTGACTTAAAAAATGTTCCAGAAGAACGTAGTATCTGATTAATGTGTTGATTGTGTCCAAAAAAAGAGTGAGTCATGTCCATGTCCATGTCTGGGTATGCCATTACTCAAAAGTGTTTGAATGTTGAAGTCAGGGACACACACTGGATGCTTTTTCTTTCTAAAGGTCTGTGCCCATGGCTGGCATCCTTGGGTACTAATTTTGATAGTTCAGGTCTCAGGAGAAAATCTCCAGATACTCAACCATAATTGGTCTTTCCTCTAAACAGATTATAATCAGATGAGGCTAGAAAGGATTTTTTCCTTCAACCAAGCACAAAATGCCTTCATTCTGGGGGCTTTTCCTATTACAATTACCCAAAGGATTTTTTAAATCCCATCAAGATAAAAATGGACCCATGAGATAGTTATTGATGATTCCTGTTCCAAGAGGAATCACATCCCAAGGTCATGCATATTCTACCCTACAACGTATTACCCTTCAGAAGTTTACCAAGATATTACAGAGGTACACTGAAGGGAGAGATTCCCAGACGTGCGTAAAAGAATCATAAGCATGGCTATTGATACTAAAGACTTAAGACATGTAAAATAGGGAAAATGTAGATCGCAAATAAATACACAAGATTTCTTTAAAAATTGCTCTGCATTGTTGAGTTCCAAAGAACTGTGCCAAGTATAGTAGTTAGTATGGTTGCCAGGTGTAAAACGTCACCCACGCAAGTGTGACTCTCTGTGGAAGAGCCCTCTCCTATCATTCATGGTGCTGAAGTGGTAGGTATACCCAGGAAAACAAGTCAGCTCTGGCTTACTCTCCTCCCTCCTCCCTCCTTTCTCTATCCTCTCTCTCTTTTCCTGCAAGGATCAAGGCCCACGGTCTCGTGAGAAGACCCTTGTGCTCTCTGCTTTCTTCTTGCTCTCTATGTCCTCTCCTTTCCCATGAGGTAACCAAACTTAAACCCTAGCCCTGGTTATAATCTGAGTATGTTGAGCAGTAGTCATTATTGGAAAACATACATTCTCTTCCTCTCAGTTTCCCTCTGTTTAAATCCTCTTGGGACTAGTGTGTGAGTTAGACTCTTTGTTCATCCAAAACACAGGATATGAAGCTCAATCTGAGGCTGAGATGGGCCTTGGAGGGAAGTCAAGCTATTATTATTTATTTTACTTTATAGATGAGTAAACTGAGGCAGAACAGGTAAAGCGACACACTCAAGTCCACACAATTACCTCATGTCATGGAACATCAGGAAGAACAGCCACATCACTTGTGAGTTACACAGTGTTTCATGGCTACAACTACTTCCAGCCCTGAACGTTATCAGTTCAGCAGAGGCAGCACTGTGGTGGCACTTGGGCCCCAGTTTCTGATTGTAGATTCATCACCAAATTACTTTTTTGTGGTATTATCATCTCTCTCTCTGTCACATTCTGGAATTGACTAAATCTGATATATTTCTCAATAGTACAGCTACATAAAGCAATAGGGAAGCAGGCTTGTTACTAAAAGCATGTAATAGAACATGAGAATTTAGATGTTTAGTTGCTGAAAATGGAAAATGTATACTTTTTTTTTAATTAAAAAATTGTTTTTACCTTTTGGTTTGCCTCTGTTCCATAGGGCTCTGCTACTTAGACTTTGGATTCTATGTCTGCCTCTCCTTCTCACTGAGAAAACAAAAATATAAAAAATGCAGCTCACATGCTAGTAAACAGCCAATGCATCAATGAAGAAATCAAAGAAGAAATAAAAAATACATAGAAACAAATAGAAATGAAGACACAACAGTCTAAAACAGTCCTTGGGACAAAGTAAAAGGAGTTCTAAGAGGGAAATTTATAGTAAAAAAGAATACCTTAAGAAACAAGAAAACTCTCAAATACATAATATAACCTTATACCTAAAGGAACTAGAAAAAAGAACAAACAAAACCCAAAGTTAGTGGAAGGAAAGAAATAATAAAGATCAGATCAGATATAAATGACATAGAGACAAAAAAAAAAAACAGTTGAAAATACTAATGAAACAAAGAGCTAGTTCTTTGAAAAGGTTCTTTGAAAAGCAAAATGAACAAACCTTTAGTGAGACCCAAGGAAAAAAAAGAGCAGAAAAAGAATCAGAAATGAAAGGAGAAATAAGAATAAACACCACAGAAAAACAAAGGATTATAAGAGAATGCTACAAAAAATTATATGCTAATGCATTGGACAACCTACAAGAAATGGACAAATTCCTAGAAACACACAATCTTCCAAAATTGAATTAGGAAGAAGTAGAAAATCCAGACTTATTACTAATAATGAAATTGAATTGACAAAAAACAAAAACAAAAACAAAAAACCTCCCAACAATCAAAAGTCTAGAACCAGATGGATTCACAGGTGACTTCTTCCAAACTTTTAAAGAAGAGTTAATGCCTGTTCTTTTCAAACTATTTCAAGAAAATAGAAGAGGAAGGAAAGCTTCCAGATATAGTCTATTGTCTATGAGGCCAGCATTACCCTCAAAACCAAAGACTAAAAAGAGAGAGAGAGAGAGAGAGAGAGAGAGAGAAAAGAAGAAGAAGAAGAAGAAGAAGAAGAAGAAGAAGAAGAAGAAGAAGAAGAAGAAAGAAAGTAAAGGGAAGAGAACTACAGGCTACTATCCCTGATGAACATAGATACAAAAATCCTTAACAATATATTAGCAAACTGCATTCAACAGTACATTAGAAGTATCACTCACCATGACCAAGTGAAACTTATTCTAGAAATGCAAGGATGATTCAATATTTGCCATCCAACCAATGTGATACGCCACATCAACAGAATGAAGGATAAAAATCATGTGATTATTTCAAGAGGCAGAAAATGCATTTGAAAAATTCAACAATCCATTATGATAAAAACTCTCAACAAAGAGAGTCTATAGGAAACATACCTCCGCATAATAAAGGCCATATATGAAAAACTTACAGCGAATATCATACTCAGTGGTGAAAAACTGAGAGCATTTTTTTTAAGATCAGGAATAAGAGAAGGATGTCCACTCTCACCTCTTTTGTTCAACATAGGACTGGAAGTCCTAGCCACAGAAGTCAGACAAGAAAAAGAAATAGAAGGCATTCAGACTGGTAAGGAAGAAGCTAAACTACCATTATTTACAGTTGACATATACCAGCCATAGAAAGCCCTAAAGATTCCACATTAAAAACTATTAGAAGGACAAATAAATTCAGTAAAGTAGAGGCTGTAAATTAATACATAGACATTGATTGCATTTCTATACACTAACAATGAAGTAGGGAAAGAGAAATTAAGAAAGCAACACCATTAGCTAGCCTTATTAAAAAGAAAAAAAGACTCAAATTAATAAAATCATGAATGAAAGAGGAAAGATCACAACCAATAGCAAGGAAATACAAACAATTTTAAAAATGTATTATGAGCATTTATATGCCAATAAATTAGGCAATCTAGAAAAAAATGGATGCATTTCTGGAAAACCACGAATTACCAAAACTGGAACAGGAAGAAATAGAAAACCTGAACAGACCAATAACTAGGGAGGAAATTGAAGCAGTCATCAAAAACCTCCCAAGACACAAAAGTCCAGGGCCAGACGCCTTCCCAGGGGAATTATAACAAATGTTTAAAGAAGAAATAACACCTATTCTACTAAAGCTGTTCTGAAAGATAGAAAGAGATGGAATACTTCCAAACCCATTCTGAGGCCAGCATCACCTTAATTCCAAAACCAGACAAAGACCCCACCAAAAAGGAGACTTATAGACCAATATCCCTGATGAACACAGATGCAAAAATTCTCAACAAGATACTAGCCAATAGGATCCAACAGTACATTAAGAAGATTGCTCACCATGACCAAGTGGGATTTATCCCCAGGATGCAAGGCTGGTTCAACACTTGTAATACAAGCAAGGTGATAGATCACATCAACAAGAGAAAAAACAAGAACCATATGATCCTCTCAATAGATACAGAGAAAGCATTTGACAAAATACAGCATCATTCCTGATCAAAACTCTTCAGAGTGTAGGGACAGAGGGAACATTCCTCAACATCTTAAAAGCCATCTACAAAAAGTCCACATCAAATATCATTCTCAATGGGGAAGCACTGGGAGCCTTTCCCCTAAGATCAGGAACAAGACAGGGATGTCCACTCTCACCACTGCTATTCAACATAGTACTGGAAGTCCTAGCCTCAGCAATCAGACAACAAAAAGACATTAAAGGCATTCGAATTGGCAAAGAAGAAGTCAAACTGTCCCTCTTCACCGATGACATGATACTCTACATAGAAAACCCAAAAGACTCCACCCCAAGATTGCTAGAACTCATACAGCAATTTGGCAGTGTGGCAGGATACAAAATCAATGCCCAGAAATCAGTGGCATTTCTATACACTAACAATGAGACTGAAGAAAGAGAAATTAAGGAATCAAACCCATTTACAATTGTACCCAAAAGCCTAAGATACTTAGGAATAAACCTAACCAAAGGGGCAAAAGATCTATATCCTAAAAACTACAGAACACTTCTGAAAGAAGTAGAGGAAGGCACAAAGAGATGGAAAAATATTCCATGCTCATGGATTGGAAGAATTAATATTGTGAAAATGTCGATACTACCAAGGGCAATTTACACATTCAATGCAATCCCTATCAAAATACCATGGACTTTCTTCAGAGAGTTGGAACAAATAATTTTTAGATTTGAGTGGAATCAGAAAAGACCCTGAATAGCCAGGGGAATACTGAAAAAGAAAACCAGAGCCGAGGGCATCACAATGCCAGATTTCAGGTTGTATTACAAAGCTGTGATCATCAAGACAGTGTGGTACTGGCACAAAAACAGACACATAGATCAATGGAACAGAATAGCGAACCCAGAAATGGACCCTCAACTCTATGGTCAACGTTCGACAAAGGAGGAAAGACTATCCACTGGAAAAAGGACAGTCTCTTCAATAAATGTTTCTGAGAAAATTGGACAGCGACGTGCAGAAGAATGAAACTAGACCATTCTCTTACACCATATACAAAGAAAACTCAAAATGGATGAAAGATCTAAATGTGAGACAAAAATCAATCAAAATCCTAGAGGAGAACACAGGCAACACCCTTTTTGAACTTGGCCACAGCAACTTCTTGCAAGATACATCTCTGAAGGCAAGGGAAACAAAAGCAAAAATGAACTATTGGGATGTAATCAAGATAAAGAGCTTCCACACAGCAAAAGAAACAGTCAACAAAACTAAAAGACACCTACAGAATGCGAGAAGATATTTGTAAATGGCCTATCAGATAAAGGGCTAGTATCCAACACCTATAAAGAATTTATTAAACTCAACAGCAAAGAAACAAGCAATCCAATCATGAAATGGGCAAAAGACATGAACAGAAATCTCACAGAGGAAGACATAGACAGGGCCAACAAGCACATGAAAAAATGCTCCACATCACTTGCCATCAGGAAAATACAAATCAAAACCACAATGAGATACCACCTCACACCAGTGAGAATGGGGAACATTAACAAGACAGGAAATAACACTTGTTGGAGAGGATGTGGAGAAAAGGGAACCCTCTTGCACTGTTGGTGGGAATGTGAACTGGTGCAGCCACTCTGGAAAACTGTGTTGGTCCCTCAAAGAGTTAGAAATAGAGCTACCCTGTGACCCAGCAATTGCACTACTGGGGATTTACCCCAAAGATACAGATGTAGTGAAAAGCCGAGTCACCTGCACCCCAATGTTTATAGCAGCAATGTCCACAATAGCTGAACTGTGGAAGGAGCCTTGGTGTCCATTGAAAGATGAATGGATAAAGAAGATGTGGTTTATGTATACAATGGAATATTCCTCAGCCATTAGAAATGACAAATACCCACCATTTGCTTCAATGTGGATGGAACTGGAGGGTATTATGCTGAGTGAAGTAAGTTAATCGGAGAAGAACAAACATTATATGGTTTCACTCATATGGGGAATATAAAAAAATAGTGGAAGGGATTATAGGGGAAAGAAGAGAAAATGAGTGGGAAAAATCAGAGAGGGAGACAGAACATGAGAGACTCTTAACTCTGGGAAACGAATAAGGGGTAGTAGAAGGGGAGGTGGGGTGGGAGGATGGGGTGACTGGGTGATGGACACTGAGGGGGGCACTTGACGGGATGAGCACTGGGTGATATGCTATATGTTGGCAAATCGAACTCCAACAAAATCATATACATCCAAAAAAGGGTAAAAAAAAAAAGCAACTTCACTTATAAGTGTAACAAAAATAACAAAATTCCTAGGAATAAACTTAACCAAGGAGATGAAATACCAATATTATGAAGACTATTGATGAAAGAAATTGAAGATGATGCAAACAAATGGAAAGATATTTCAAGTTCATGGATAAATAAACGTCAAAATGTCCATAGAACTCAATATACAGATTTAATGCAATCTCTATGAAAATGCCAACAACATTTTTCACAGAAATAGAACAAATAATACTAGAATTTGTATGGAACCACAAAAGACCCCAAATAGCCAAAGCAATCTTGAGAAAGAACAACAAAGCTAGAGATATCACACTTCCAGATTTCAAAATATATTACACAAAGCTATAGTAATCAAAACACTATGGTATTGGCAAAGAAACACACATACAGATCAGTGGAATGGAATAGAGAGCCTAGAAATAAACTCATGCTTATATGGTCAATTAATTTATGACAAAAGAGGAAATAATATATACAATGAAGAAAAGACAGTCTCTTCAACAAATGGCTCTGGGAAAACTGGACAGCTACATGCAAAGGAAAGAAACCAGACCACTTTCTTACACTATATGCACAAGTAAACTCAAAATGGATTAAAAACCTAAATTTGAGACCTGAAAACATAAAATTCCTAGAAGAAAACACAGGCAGTAATCTCTTTGACATCAGCCTCAGGAAAATTTTTCTAGATCTGGTTGCTCAGGCAAGGGAAATAAAAGCAAAATAAACTATTGGGACTACATAAAAAAAACCCACAAACTTTTGGACAATGAAAGAAAACATCAATAAAATGAAAAGGCAACCTACTGAATGAGAGAAAATATTCAGAAATGTCATATCCAATAAGAGGTAAATATATAAAATATATAAAGAACTTAAACAATTCAACATTTTAAAAATTGGTTAAAAATGGGTAGAGAATGTGAATAGACATTTTCTCCCAAAGAAAACAGACACATGAAAAGATGTTCAATATCACTAATCATCATGGAAATGCAAATCCAAACCACAATGAGATATCACCTTATACCTATCAGAATGGCTAGTATCAAAAGGATAAGAACTAGAAAGTGTTGGTGAAGATGTGGAGAAAAAAAGCACCCTTGAGCACTATTGTGGGAATGTAAATTGGTGAAGCCACTGTGGAAAATAGTATGGAGGTTCCTCAAAAAATTAAAAATAGAAATGCCATATGATGTAGTAATTCCACTACAGGGCATTTACCCAAAGAAAACAAAATACTAATTCAAAAAGATTTATGCATTCCTGTGTTTACTGTAGCATTATTTACAATAGCCACAATATGAAAGCAATTGAAGCGTTCATTGATAGATGAATGGATAAAGAAGCTGGTGTGTGTGTGTGTGTGTGCATGTGTGTGTGTGTGATGGGATATTACTCAGCCACAAAAAAAGGATAAGATCTGCCATTTGTGACAATATGGATGGCTAAGAAGGTGTTATGCTAAACTAAATAGGTCAGATAGAGAAAGACAAACACCATATAATTCCACTTATACGTGAAATATGAAAAATAAAACAAATGAATAAGCAAATAAATGAAAAGCAGAAACATCCGTACATCTAGAGTACAAACTGATGCCAGAGAGGAGGTAGGGTATGGGCAAAATGGGTGGAGAAGAGTGGGAGAGACAGGCTTCCAGTTACAGAATAAGTCACAGGCATAAAAATTATAGCATTGGGAGTATAATCAAGCCTAAGAGGGTGACTGTATGAGGAACCAGCTACACGCCCACTGACAGTCGAACTGTGAGAAGGCGTGATTCTCATGAGCTTCTCTGGGGAAGGGAGGGGCTCAGGAAGTTTTCTTGAAAGATATTCTGTCCAGAAAGATGATTTGAATGGATGAAATGACCCCAGGAAGGGTGTGGCTTCCCATAAGGGGGAAGTGTTAGGCAATCAGCTGGAACTCCTGCATTAGAGGAACTTCCATGGGGAGATTCTTTCTAAAGAGGGGTTCTTTAAAGAACCCACAAACATGGCTCATGCATCTTCCATATCTGGGAGACACGAAGGACATAGCCCATAAGAGGCCTATTCCTACTCCTTACTTCCTTCTCTCCCCCTCGAATTAGCTAAAAGCACAGATACTGAATAGGGTTAGACAAGAGTGTGGATAAGAGAACAAGCTGGTCTCATCCAACTTCCTCACTACATGTTTTCCAGTTGTAATATTATGTCAGCTCAGGCTTTTATTTTTTTAATTATTTTTAATTAATTTTTTTTCAGCTCAGGCTTTTAACATTGGATGAGTTCATCAGTGCTGCCAAAAGGGACTAGCACAGCTCTGGGGCTTACCTAAGACTTCATCTTTGGGGCAGGAAGAGAACTGTTTCAGAGAGAAGTTTTGAAAAGGAAGTAGAAGGAGCAAAGTGATTTGTGTTTCAATTACCAATTTGAAAACAAAACAAAACAAAACATTACCAATTTCAACATTTTAACAAAGGCTTCACAAAAACTCAGAGGAACAAAATCTTGGACCTAGGGAAGTACAACCTAAGAAATAACTAAGATGATACAGGCAAATATGGAGATAAAATGATAGAGCTGCTAGAAATACATGTATATATTTATATGTTTAAATTTTATTTATATTATTTACATAAATATATGTATGCAATGCATATATAAAATATCAGAGGACCTCAGTTATGTGTGTGTGTGTGTGTGTGTGTGTGTATGAGTGTATAAAATGATGAGATGACAGAAATAATCAGAAGAAATGGAAAGGAAATGTATCCACCTATGTTTTGATGCCGCAAGAAAGAGTCCTGCCACTTCTGAGTGCCATATAAACTTAGTAGCAGTATTTTATACCAGAGGATGTTAAAGAATGAACAAAAAGAAAGAAACTCTACATGAGGAACAAGTAGAATGGGAGAGTAAGGGGAAAAGAAAAGAGACAAAGAGGAGGAAGAAAAGGAGGAACACAGTGGAAATAAATAATTGCAGAACTGGGTGCGGAGAGTGAAGAATCATCTTTTTCATCTTCTGTTGCAAGGACACCGTATGGCGCATGCTCTGCTTGAGTCTGGCTTAAATAGCTATCTCCCAGGCTTAGATCCGATGTGATACAAGGGCTCTAGCTTCTGCTTGATTAATTCAAGTTCCTTCTGTCTGTTTCTCCTTGTTTTGTTGAGGGTTGTGTTTATTAGCTATAACAAACCTTTCTAGCATTTTCTCCTGGTCCCTCATTTCCCATTCAGGGCTAGCTTGTCTCTGGCCACGTGGCTCCGTGCTACATGCAGGGCCCAGCTCCTATTCTTGCCAAGGGTCTTAGGTGACAAGAGGCCAGGTTTGAACCAATAGCGTCTGAGTTTTCCTCCAGATATGAGGAAGTCAGTGACTTTGGATAAAAACGTGAAAGGTAAGTAGGCAGATTTCTATTCATCCCCCACAATCATCTTTCTTCCATAGGAATAGAGTTACAGCTGAACCCAAGGCTGCCTCACTACAGATTATATTTCTTGGCCTCACTAGCAGCTAGCTCTGGTCATGTGACCAAGTTTTGGCAATAGGATGTGAACAGAAGACTCTGAATCTTTCCATTGAAAGAAGTCCATAGGTGATTTTCCTGTTCACTTTCCCCATTCCCACTGGTTGGGAGACAATGGCAACCAGACTAGCTTTTTTGAACAAAGAGGGGGAAATCATGTGTTGCAGAAGGCAGTTTCTTCCTTCCATTTCTGGACTATTTGGCGAAAGAGAAATAAATTATATGGTTTAAGCCACTGTATTTTGAGTTCTCTTTGTACACTTTAGCCTGTACTTTAAACAATTCATTATTTATGAAGCCTGTTGGAGCGAAGATGGGTCTGGCAGGAAGATCAGGATTGCGGTAAGTGCACAGCTGTTAATTCTCAGACTTTTACCTTTTTGAAGATTGTTTTTTTTATGTATGTGTCTTCTCTTTTTTCCTTCAAACAGAAAAGAAAATAATCCTTTAGAATTATAAACAGATTTATAACCCCTACGTGTCAGTAATCTTCAAGTATTTTAAAGTCTTCATTCTACTTTTGTAGTGCTAAATTTCCAGCTACCAACATATCATCTTGGTTGTCATCACACCGAAAACAAAAATAGCAACAAAACAACCTACTTTTAGGTTGTTAGGTTAGCAAAATATGCTGCTTTACAGTATATTTTTACCTATTTACATGAGGTTTTCTCATTCACACTAAAGAAAATGCAAAAGGCAGCTGAAATCAGATAGGAGCTGACAGAGAAGAAGGGGGGTGTCAGAAAGGTCAAGGAAAAGTAGATCTCAGAAATCACAAGTATATGTCCTAGGATTTAGGGGTTTGCCTTGAAAAGCTGAAGCTATAATCCATGTTTATAAAAGCCAGAAGTTAATTACAAAGTAGAAAAAAACATTGGAAAAATGAAGACAAATTTAGAATGGGATAAAAGAGATTAGATGTTTCAGAAATTAAAGTGAAGGACATAGATTTGTAAAAAAGGAACCAGGAAGTTTAGAACAATTAGGAAAGATTAGAAAGAAAATAATCAGTGGAAAATAGTGAACAAATCAAGAGATTTCCTAAAAGAAAATCAGAATAATAGAAGCATTTTAAGATAAATTTGAGAACAAATGTCCTGAAATATAACAAAAAAATTGAATATACACATAAGTACGTATATTTTCACCCTATAGCATAAAAATTGACTCCAAACTGTCAATCCTGAGATATATTCCAGCAAATTTACTGGACTTTAAAGATAAAGCAAGAGGGAGCTTGGGTGGCTCAATGATTGAGCATCTGTCTCTAACTCAGAGCATGATCCCAGGGTCCTGGGATCGAGTCTTGCCACGGGCTTCCTGCAAGATGTATGTTTCTCCCTCTGCCTATCTCTCTCTCTCTCTCTCTCATGAATAAATAAATAAAAATCTTCAAAAAAAAAGGTGAAGCAAGAATGGAATGGGCAGTCTAGACAAAAATGTCAAGTCATTTTCAAGGGAGGGGGATCTTTTTGGCTATAGAATTTTCTACAGTAATACCTAACGCCACAGGAAAGTGGAGGAAAACCTACAAGATGCTTCTAGAAATAGTGAGTCAAATATTTTTCACATATAAAAAATAAAACAATGCTTTTGAACAGGAAAATCCTGGGAATGTCGTTCCTATGAGTAATTATTGGGAAAACTAAGGATCCACCTCAGCAAACTGAGACAAGACTGGAAAAATTTTGGCAAAAGGATTCAAATAAAAGCAGGGAGTGGGCAGCCTGGGTAGCTCAGCGGTTTAGTACTGCCTTTGGCCCAGGGTGTGATCCTGGGGACCCAGGATTGAGTCCTGTGTCGGGCTCCCTGCATGGAGCCTGCTTCTCCCTCTGCCTGTGTCTCTGACTCTCTGTCTCTCTGTGTTCTCTCATGAATAAATAAATAAAATCTGTAAAGCACCTTGTTATATTTTTAAAAAGGCAGGGAGTGAGGTGACAGACCAGGATGTTAAACTACATGCCCTAACAATACAATAACCAAAAAAAAAAAATGTATGAGGAAGCGGAGAATATGGGTGGTAGAGCAAGATCATTGTCTGTTGGACTCACAGCAAACATGATTTGGACAAATCAGGGAGTAATATCACACACATTTAAGAGCTAAAAGATACACATAAATATAACATCATGATGGATCTAGGGAGTATAATGTTAAGTGAAATAAATCAGGTAAAGATAAATACCATATGATTTCAACCATTTGCGGAATTTAAGAAACAAAACAAATGAACAAAGAAAAAAAAAGACAAACCAAAATAAAAAAAAAAGAAAGAAAAAAGAGAAAAAAGACAAACCGACAGACTCTTAATTACAGTGAATAAACTGATGGTTGCCAAAAAGGAGGTGCGTGTGTGGGGGGGTGATGGGTAAAATAGGTAAAGGGGATTAAGAGAATTCTTATCATGATAAGCACTGAGTAATGTATAGAATTGTAGAATCACTGAATTGTACACCTGAAACTAATATAACACTGTGTGTTAACTATACTGGAATTGAAATGAAAAAAAAAAAAACTATTTGACACCAAAAATAAAAAAGTAATATCATGAGCTAAACTTGGGTGGGAGAGAAAAGAGTGGACTGAGGAATCAGGCACATGCTAAATTTATCAATTTTTTGGGTAGGAAACCAGTGAGTACTGCCTAAAGAGAGAGTATATAAAAGTAATTCTAAGAGTAATCATTAGAACAAAAATACAAACATTTCTAAATATCGGAAGTATATACTCACTCCTAACCAATGAAAACATGAGAAATGAGTTCAATTCAGTCATTCATTTCTTTAAGGTAGAGACCCAGAAGTGGCCCACATTTCCTCAGCTCCGAGGCCATTGGCCAGAGCTTGGCCACAAGGTCAGGGCTAGCCACGGGGAAGATTGAGAGGTTGAGTCTAGCTGGGTAGCCACATGCCCAACTGTAATGAGGGGAACAGAAATCGAATCTTCCTAACTATCAGAAGTACACATACGCACATAAATGCATAGAAGACAGAATGCAGAGTGTTAACATTTTTAATATCCAAGACACTAGAATATATAATATAAATGAGTATGACATATGCAAGACCATACATTTTGGTCCTATCAATAAAAGTAAATGGACTTAACTCACTTATTTAAATAAAGATTTTGAGATTGAATTACAGAGTAAACTCCAACTTTTATCATATACACAAGACTCATGGAAAAAGATATTTTATAACTATTGAAAATAAATGTAAAGGCAAAAGTATATTCTGCATACATCAACAAAAAGAAACCAGGGAGTCATGATCTGAATATCTAAGGAAATATATAATTCAGGCCAAAAAGCTTTAAGCCAGTAGAAATCACTGGAGACATCCTATTATAATGAAAAATAGGTAGCAACTACTCCTAGCAGCAACTTTATTTTTACCTCCCTCAGTCAATAAGAGGTCAAGCGCACAAAATGAGGAGGCCCAAATAATACACTTAACAAGGTTGTTACGATTAATTCGTATTCAACTCCATGTCCTAAAAATAGAGAATGTACATTTCTTCCCACCCTTTCTTAAACATTCTTGGGTCAAAGAGGAAATATAAATCCAAATTGCAGACTATCTAGCAAATAACAATAACGAAACTATCTCCTACAAGAACCCATACATTCTCTAATTTAGGAAAAAACAGTAATTTTAGAAAGGATGAAGAAAATCCCTGCATACAGTCAGTCTTCATTATCCATGGATTCCATATTTGTGAACTCACCCACTTGCTAAAATTTCTCTTTAACCCCCAAATCCATGCTCGTGGCACTTTCATGGTCATTCATGGACGTGGGCAAGCAGTGGATCATTCGAGTCGCTGATGGCACACATTCTCAGCTACGGTGGAACAAGGGGATGTTCCACCTTCTTGCTTCCACTCTCGTGGAAAAGGACACAAGTGTCCTTTTGCCATTTATTTAGTGCTTTTTTTGGTGAATTTGTTGTTGAAAATGGTAGTGGTGCTGAGGTGCTATCTCATGTTTCTAAGCATAAAAAGGTTGTGATGTGCCTTATGGAGAAAATCTGTGTGTTAGATAAACATTCAGGCAAGCGTTCTAGTGCCGTTGGTGATGAGTTCAACATTGATGAATTAACACATATATTAAATACAGTATCTTTAACTAGAAACACTCAGAAAAATACAAAGGTATGTATTGGTTGGTATGCTGCAGCCAGAGGCTCACAGGAGCATAACCCTGTACTTCTTCTAGAAGCAATGGTTCCTATATATTGGCAAATTGAACACCAATATAAAATAAAAAAATAATAAAAAAATAGAAGCAATGATTCAGTATTAGCAAATTCTGTGTTTGGGGGTGACTTTATAGAACATATCTACTCTGAATAATGAAAACTGGCTGTATATGTACATACATGTGGATATGCATGTATGAGTATGAAAGCAATGTGTTTCCAGAATCCATCCACTTTTTTTCATTGTTTTTATTTCAAATATTGTATTTTTCTCTTTTTTTCCCTCAAATATTGTTCTTTTTAATCTTAGAATTTATATTTGGTCCTTTTTTTAATCATTTCTATTTCTTTGTTGATATTTGCTGTTTGGTGAGAAATCAATTTTCCTACTTCTTTACACTTGGCTTTATTAAACATATTTTAAATAGCTGATTTATGAGGTGCCTGGGTGGTTCAGTCCTTTAAGTGTATGCTTTCAGCTCAGATGATAATCTCAGGGTTCTGGGGTCCAGCCCCACATCAGGGTCCCTGCTCAGTGGGGAGCCTGCTTCTTCCTGTCTCTCTGCCCCTCCCCACCCTCGCTTGTGCTCTCTGTCTCTCTCAAATAAATGAAAAATAAGACCTTAAAAAAATTAAATAGCTGATTTAAAGTCTTTGTCTAGTAATTCCAGTGTATGGTCTTCCTTGGGTACAGTTTCCATGTTTCCTGAGTATAGAGCCATAGTTTGTTGCTTTTTTTTTTTTTGGCATGTCAAGTAAATTTTTTCTTAAAAACCTAACATCTTAAATAATACGTGATAACTCTGGAGATCGAATATCCCCATTTCCCCAAAGTTTGTAGCTATTGCTGCTGGTTGTTATTCCTGTTGGTTGTTGTTCTTTATTTAGTGTTTTTTTTTTTTTCCTGAACTAATTCTGTAAAGTCTGTGTATTTTGCTATGTGGCCCCTGAAGGTCCAGCTCAGTTTAGTGGTCAGTTAATGACTGGAAAGAGATTTCCCTAAATATCTAGGACTGATAAGTCTCCCAGTATTTGCCAGGGGGCTATAAAAGCCTGTGTTGATGCATGCCTTCAATGCACAGCTGGGCAGTTTACAATTCCACCCTTGCTGTCACTTCCTGCTTGCACAGACCCTCCTGGTTAGGGAGAGGTGAGGGCTTTATTAGGTCTTTCCTAATACCCAGCCCTGGGTATATGTACTTCCCTAGACCTGTGT